AATCATCTTTTTACATTCATTTCTCCTACGCAGGTTTTTTCCTTGGAACAACAAATGCTACTGACGTTCAGCCAAACGTAGACAGGGAGCCAGGAGTTGATTGTCCAAACGCAATTCTTGTATTACGTCTCTATAACTAGGAGTTGTGGATGGACATCATGCTCCAGACTCCTGTTTGCTTCATTTTGCATCAGGGTTATGTTTTTAAAAAATTACGTGGGTAATAATCAGACAAACATTAAACTGCATTTTTAGGTTGAAAAAAGAATTTTGTAACATCTAGTATTTGCCACCTATTATCCTGATAACAATATATATTTATATATACGTCAGCCTCAGGTGACTGGAAAAACAAATGTCATGTTTTTGAATCATCTCTTTGCTAAAGTATATATTTACCGTCTGCAGGACTGCAGCTTAGATGAACACGTTTTCCTTCGAGTTCCTTGCAGTTAGAATTTGCAGTTATTGAAGTATGACAAGAAGTAATTTAAAAAACTGTGTTAAAAATGTGGCTGAGTTTTAATTTTAAAAAAATGACCTGAAACTTACTCAGTTAAAGTAAGCTAACTGTTTGAAAATATTTCTACTATAGAAGAAGTTACTATTGAAATATTATGTATTGTATCATTTAACTGGCCAACTTTATTCACATCTCCAATAAAACAAAGTTAATGATATTTTCTCTGTGTCTTTGTCTCGATCTATTTGTTTATTTTGTTTTTATTTCAGTTTTTATATCTTGGTCAGGACGACGTGAGTGCAACAAAGAAAATAGATCACAAATCACATTTATAATAAACACATTTCAAACTGAGAAACAGTTGAGACATAAATGTAACAGGAATTTAAGCAGAAAGAGTTTGGTTTTCTGTAGTTTTAGGAGTTTATTCTTAAATTAATAGAATAAACTGAGGTTAATTAATAGACTATTATTAATATTATATATATATAATTGAGTTACTAGTATTTCCAGAACAAGCAGTACAACCTCTGTGTACACACATATTTATAGCAATATCACTACTACAGTACTACTACTGCTGTTTTAGTAAAGCATATACCGCTGATACTAAAATTACTAAATTACTGAAAGCTTTATTTATTCAAAGGTTAGGTTACAAGCAATTACTAGAAACTTTTAAATATTTTAACAGGGAGTTGAAGATTTTATACTATTTTTGTATTTTGTATTTTTTTAAGTAATGTTAACCTTTCTGCCCCCCCTCCCCCCCGCCCCCTCGCAGTCTCCCCCTCTCTCTAAAACACTACCTCGTGGCTGACTCTGACTCTGACATCCTCACCTCCAGGGCAATAACTGCTGTGATGTGCATAAACTCAGAAGCACACCAGCATGCCAACATTACGGTATGTTCTGTCTATTCTGACCAAAAGGGGGCAGTGTTTCACACCTTTCAAATTCAAATCACAGATCCGGTACGAGGCTGTTAAATCACACATTCTTTCAAAAGTTCTTCAGATTTGGCGCAGCCTATGTTACACACATACAACATGTGCTTCATCTTACAGTACAGTTGTTGAAACACACAGCGTTCTATTCCTTAAATACTGTAGACTATGGTACAGTGAAGGGGCCTGAGAAAGACGAGCAGCTGATTTATAATTTTGTTCTAATGAGGGGTTCGTCACCTGTGACCGCGACTGAACGAAAACTTCTAAAACGTCTGCGCAAATTGGTCGCTACACATACCCAGAGTGGTGACATCATCAAGATAAGTCAGCTGAGTACTGTGTGCAGATGTCAGGGACAGAGGTGAGATAAAGGTCAAGGTGAGTAAACAGTGCAGATAAGAGGGCAGACCCTAGGGAACGAGAAGGTGGGGGGAGGAGTGGGGAACACTTTATATCTTTAAATTACACTAGGATATAAAAAACACACCGTGGTTCTGAAGATTTTTACTTGGTAATACATAAAGTCTCATTTTGTTGCAGTGTATATAAATGTATAAAAAAATATCTGTCCAAGTCCAGTGACAGCTCGACTTTTTCTTGTTTCTCTATCTTTTTTGGTCTAAATAGATTGGTTCCCAGAAAAGAAGCACACTTTCTACAGAGAGATTCAAAACATCACTTTTTTTTTTATTAATCTATCTTCTAATATTTAATCTTTTCCAGGATTTTCCGCTTTTTCCGAAGTCTTGGTAAGAATTTGTGGTGGTGTTACATTTGCTGTTCATGTTCATGTATGAAGAGCAATAATGTAAGCACTTCTACTTCTTTACTTCTAACCCTAACACAGTAGTTATCTTTGTTATTGAAGTACTGACTGTGGCGCTGGTATTTATCAGTATTTTATTATGAAATAAAACCCTGTAACTGTGTGTTTTTTTCATTTTATGTAAGATTCAGTTTAAAAAGTTACATCCAGGAAATACAGTTTCGTCCAAACTCCAGATATTGAGGCTGTGTATACTTTCTGCAGCCATTACTGCATTGAATACTCTGTATTGAATCAAATGCATTTTTGTTCAGTAAAGACACTGTTTCACTGTAACTCCTCATTCTTAATGAGAACAGAGGTGAGTTTGTAACTGTCTACATCTACATCTATGTACAGTGTGTATTGTGCTCCACGTTGCATGACTGGAACTGAAACTTGTTACAAAAAAAGCAACTTAGTTCAGTTGATTTAGATTTCCTGGTGGACATATTTATTTATTTTCCTGGTCATTTTTTTTCTTCTACTGGCAGAAAATGATCTTAGAGGGGTCTCTGTGTTCCCTGCAGCCCCCGCCCCCCCATTTCCCCTCCCGTCCTTACCTCTGCAGTGTGAGTCAAAGGTAGAGCAGGAGTGGTTTGTTGCTTCTCTCCAAAAGCGAAACCTCAGACAAGAAGACAAGAATAAAGTTGTTTTTTAAAAAAATTGGAAAACTCAATGTCAGTTGTTTTTACATATATTGAAAACAAAAAACTTTATCAATTTTTTTTTTACTGTGATTAAAGTACTACATTGACATGTACTACGGTTATGTGATATAAAAACCGGGGGTTGTGGGAGAGAGCTGTGGTGAATGAGAGGTGGGGAGGGATGAGGGAGGAGGAGGAGGGTGGAGAGGTGAAGGAACAAGTGAAGGCTTATGTGCCCATATTATTCTAATCTCTGTGCTCCGGTCCAATGTAAGCACCATGGGAGAACTGACCATTACTTCAATCAGAGGCCGATCAACAGCCACTCTGTTCCAGCGTCAGCCGTCAGACATTTGGTTGAATTTGAATTAATAAAAAGTAAATAAACATGTGTACATGTGTATCGCAGCTTTCAATCTCAGGATCAGTTTTCTGTTCAAGACCTACAGCTTTTAACTATAGACCTTTTTTTTACTGTAACCCAGTCAAAGAGTTCATTAGTGAGCAATTACAGAGAGAGTTAAAAATTGATAAAAAAATTAATTAGAGAATCTCAGCTGAGAGACGGGCGGATGTTTAGGCTCTAATAAATGTTTTAATTATTTGTAGTTTTTCCACGTGTTCATTTATATGTGTGAGTGACAGCCGTGGAATTAAAAAACATGGCCAGGTGTATTTTCTCAGGTGCAGCTTGTTGCTGAAGGTATGGGTTTGGTCATTTCCCCCCAAAGGCCAGAACAGGGTCAGCAGTTCAAGGGTGGTCCATGGTGCAGAGAGAAGCAGAGGGATGGTAGCGCTTCTTCTGAAGGCTGCCACCAGATGGAGTCACTGATGGATGGGGACCACCCAGGTCAGGGTCTTCACTACATGACAGCTCCTCTTCACTTTAATGCTGACTTGACTGAATTTGTAAAGTGATTTGATGAGTTCCTCTGAAGTCATTCACAGTTTATATTCAAATAACTTTAGACTTTAGAAAAGAAAAATTCTTTGACTCTGACCATCGACAGAAAATCAGTTCATGCTAGTTTTTGGGAAAACGTATCTTTGTGACAACTAGATTAAAATTTTATTTTTTTTAAATAAATTAATAACTACATTAAAATAATTTATTCTACTTAAAATATTGTACTGTTTTTTTAACAGTACTCTTTAGTTTCACCAGTCAGCTTTTCTCACTGATGTCCAGTATTGGGTCCAAGTACATATGGTACTGTACGTTCCTAAAGCCTGAGAGCTGTAAAAAGGCCAGTTGTGCAGTTGTGCTCGTGTGTGGATGTGTGTATGTGGTCAGCATGCTCTCATGTACACACTTGGCAAACCACTTGGCAAACTTGCAAGGTTTTTTTTTCATGTTCATCATGTACAGAATTTGCTCTGCGTCATCAGTGGTTTGCCTTCATGTGGACTGGTGATCCTCACGTGTGTTTCTCTTTAATCAGCGCTCTCTTCTAATTACTTCTAAATAGAGGACGAACCAACATGCACATGTGTTTGTGTTTGAAGTACAGTAAGATTTTTTGTTATTACCTGGTTTGGTTTTTGTTCTGGAAACCAGAAGAAAACTGCTAACTCAGCAGGTCTGACTGAGGGCGGGTCCCATGATCTGCAAGGAGAAAGACTGATAATGAGACTCATGCAACAAAATACATGTTCAATGAAGACATTTTAAAAATGCATACATAAAAAAATATTTATATCTAGACACCAGTTTTATTAAGCATATGTATTTTGTGGTTCATTATCTGATGAACCCCAATAACAAATTGGGGCAGTGGTGGATTGGTGGCTAAGGATATGGACTTGAGTCCGGAAGGTTTCTGGTTCAAGTCCACCAGCTGCCAGGTTACCACTGAGGTACTCTGAGCAGGGCACCGTCCCCACACACTGCTCCACGGCGCTTATAACTGCCCACTGTTCACTTTGGTGATGGGTTAAAGGCAGAGGTGACATTTGGTTGTGTGCTGTGTCACAATGACAAGTCGTTCACTTTACACTTTCACACAAATCAGAGATACACTGTAAGATAAAAAGAGACACAATAAGATATAATTAGTAGAGATGAGATGAGAGATATGTTTCTTTAAAGTCCATTTTCATTTTTAAATCATGTTTGATTTTACAAAACCGACTCATTGGTCTATTGAGGAAGCTCTCTGACAAGAAATTAGTACCAATGTGCAGTTTGCAGGCGACCGTCGGCGCGGAGGACTTCATGTGGTCTACAAAGGTTTGGAGGGTGGGTGGCCATTTGGTGAGAGATGCAGTGCTTTTACAGAGCATTCCTTAAATCTGCTGGATAGTTGGTCACTTACATAACTCCCACGTAGTTTCATCTCATTACTTCCAACAAACGGCCGATTCATATGGCCAGAAGTTCCTGTCCCGCAGAGTCAGCACTGAATACCTGCACTGTTACACTGTATTCTATGTAGTCCAGCTAAGTTATGATGATTCTCTGACCTGGATTCAATCACACACTCTGTTAAGGCATTAACACTGTCTGTAAGAAGTCAAGTTAAATGTAGCAGACAGAGTTGTGCTTAACTGAAATGTGTTTTGTTTTTTGTTTTTTTAGTTTTAGCTTGTTTTGTTTTTTTCCACACAAAACAATGCAAAATATGTCCAAGTAATTCAGATTTTAAATGTGAGATTTTTAAGATATATTTTAATTCTAACTATATAAACATTCTGATCCTGGTGAAACACAGCACAAGAGAGAGGTTTAACACACACTGGATTCTCAGGTTTGTGTAAAAATGTCACTCTTTTTATGGTCCAATACAAATATTTTCCAAGGTGGTTGAGAGAGTGGGACCACTAGGCGTGGAAGAGAGGGGGTCCTTAAGTAGGAGCAGGATTTATCACTCTCCTCCTTTCTAGTGGTGGTCCTTTCTCTCACCTCCTTCCTCTCTCATCACATCCAGCACATCTGTGTCGGCTTTTCCAATCAGATGGAGGAAGCAGCACAAAGACAGAGATAAATCCAAGAAAACCCAGAACAATATTCAGGTGAGAAATTCTTTTTGTTTTTTATTGGACTGTTAAGATCTCAGTATGTTAATGCAGGTCTGAAATGAATGGGTGATGGAAATCTTTCATGAGTGACATCACTGAGAACGTCTTTTGGTATCAGTGCTTTCCCGTTTTTTTTTTGTTCTTTTTTGTACTAGACTTTGTAAAAAGACACACAAAAAACTTTTTGTAGAGTTTTTCCATATTGATCTAATGGCAAAAAATTTGGAGGGGGGGCATGAACTTATGAATATATCAAGAACTGTTAATTTAATTTAACTGAAATAGAATAAAAGGAATTAAATTTGCTTTTGTTTTGAGATAGATTTGAAATAGTTATTTAAAAAAGTATCCTGCTGCAGTTAACACTTTGCCTCTGGTACAAATATTTAAATTTTTTTTTTTTTTTTACAAATGCACACATTTTTGAATCGATTTCTTTCAAAGACTGTTTACACATTGACCCATATTCACCGATTCCATGTTCAAAATTGGCCGGCTCTTCAGCAAACCATTTGATTGTGTTTACCCGCTGCATGATTTATTTGATTTTCTACAGATTTGAAGCCAAGGTTCTTTTAGTGGTTTTGTGAGTTGTGGGTACAGCAGATTATGTAACCGTCTGTATAGTGAAAGACATACAGTGTCCCACAGTCCTATACTGTACAGTGAAGCTCTGTCACTGCTCCGCTGTAGTCTCTCCTGCACAGTCACTAGTTTTCCCGCACTTGTCACTGACTTCCTTCCTGCTGCAAATTTAGATTTTAATTTGGCAATAGAGTGAATCTCATTGCAGCAGTCAGCTACTGCACAGTAATAATATATGGCAATGTACTAACGAAGAGTTAATAAAGTCTGTACCTGGAAAAAGGTTAAAAATACCTTGGTAGAAAATTGCATTAATCCAATTCATGATTTATTTGTTTTTGTTTTTTATTGTCTCTCTTTATAGGGCCAACCTGGTAAAGTTTGCTTCAGACTTGGTGCCAGGAAACACAGAGAACGTTCTTAATTCAACAGGGACATACATTTAGATCACCCAAAGGCAATTCCATTGCTGGCTACTGCTGGCTCAAAATGTTGTTTAATCTAGGACTTCTCCTTCTCCTCGCTCCCTTTCCCTCCTTACAAACCACAGCCAATGAGAAGAGAAACTCTACAGGCAGCGATGTGAGCAAACCCAACGCCGGTTTCGCTCTCTCAAAACCAAAAACCACTTCAACTCCTGCCAAACAGACCCCTCGTTCCACCGTGAGACCAAACACGACCAATCACACACTTCTACCCACTCCAGCCACCAACCAAAAACCAGCAGCCGCCAACCCATCAGGAACCACCAAGAGCAGGGCCAGCTCTGCAGTCACTCAAGCCACTGTGCCTCCAACGGTGAAAGCCAATGCAGCCAACGGCACCATCACAAACAAAGGCAAGCTCTCAGCCACCGTCAATCAGACTCTCTCTGTATCCTCTCCAGCCACAAACCAAAAACTTCCAACAGTTAACACTACGTCAAACTCCAAAAGCAAGGCCAGCCCTGCAGTCATTCAAACCACTGTGCCTCCGGCAGTAAAGTCAAATACAGCCAGCAGCACCACAACCAACAAAGGCAAGCAATCAGCCACCGTCAATCAGACTCCTGTTCCCACTCCAGCCACAAACCAAAAACTTCCAACAGTTAATGGTACGTACAAAAACAAGGCCAGCTCCGCAGTGGTTCCAGCCACACTGCCTCCACCAGTGAAGCCAACGACAACCAACGGCACCATTACCAACAGAGGCAAGCAGTCTGTCCATGTGAATCAGACGGTTGTAGCCAAATCTACTTCAGCTGCTGAAGCGAAGCCTAGCAAAGACAAGCTAACATCCAGTGGAATTTCTAATGCTCAGTCATCAAACAGCACTAAACCTACACAGGACAAACTCCAACCATTGCTCAATCAGACGGTCAAATCCTCTGATGGGAAGATTCCTAAAGACAAGCCTGTAACTACTATTGCTCAAAATGTTCAGTCAACGTCCGCTAGATCTCCGCCTGCAGGTGATGCTAAAAACACAAATGACAAACTCAAAAGTGTTTCAGCAAAAACTCCTGATGTAAAAGTTGCACAAGACAAGCCTGCAACCACCACAGTCCAAAATGTTCAGTCAACAGCTTCTAAGTCTGCTACTACAGGTGGCGCTAAAACCACCAATGACAAACTCCAGACTTCTGCCAATCAGACCGTTTCAGCAAGAGCTCCTGATGTAAAAGTTGCACAAAACAAGCCTGCTACCACCACAGTCCAAAATGTTCAGTCAACAGCTTCTAAGTCCGCTACTACAGGTGGCGCTAAAACCACCAATGACAAACTCCAGACTTCTGCCAATCAGACCGTTTCAGCAAACTCTCCTGATGTAAAAGTTGCCCACAACAAGCCTGCTACCACCACAGTCCAAAATGTTCAGTCAACTGCTTCTAAGTCTGCTACTACAGGGGGCGCTAAAACCACCAATGACAAACTCCGGACTTCTGCCAATCAGACCGTTTCAGCAAACTCTCCTGATGTAAAAGTTGCACAAGACAAGCCTGCACCCACCACAGTCCAAAATGTTCAGTCAACTGCTTCTAAGTCTGCTACTACAGGTGGCGCTAAAACCACCAATGACAAACTCCAGACTTCTGCCAATCAGACCGTTTCAGCAAGAGCTCCTGATGTAAAAGTTGCCCACAACAAGCCTGCTACCACCACAGTCCAAAATGTTCAGTCAACAGCTTCTAAGTCCGCTACTACAGGTGGCGCTAAAACCACCAATGACAAACTCCGGACTTCTGCCAATCAGACCGTTTCAGCAAGAGCTCCTGATGTAAAAGTTGCCCACAACAAGCCTGCTACCACCACAGTCCAACATGTTCAGTCAACATGTTCAGTCAACATCCTCTAAGTCTGCTCCTGCAGGTGGCGCTAAAGCCACCAGAAACAAGCCTTCAGTCTCTGTCAATCAGACTGTTGTTGCTAAACCAACATCCACCAGTGAAGTGAAACACGCCAAAGACAAATCTCAAACCTCGAGTCAGGTTACCAAGTCAACAACAGCAAGTGGCTCATCATCAGACAAGGAAAAGGCTGGAGCAGCGTCGGCCAATCACACCACCGCTTCAAACACTACCACTACTGTCACCAACGCCACCAAAGAAAGGTCTGCCCCTTCACAACCACTTAAGGTAGTAATAAGTGATGGCTGTGACTCAACCAATGCCAAGGAGCGGGAGCTGAAGCTGAAGCCTGGAGCTCCTCTGGTGATGACACACAAGATAAGCTTGGTGCCTGGTGGCTGCGATGGAAGATGTGAGATGGAGATGGCAGAACTGAAGGGACGAGTGGCTCGGCTAGAAAAAGAGATGTCCCTCTTCAGAGAGAACTGTATGATTTGATCATTATTTACATAATATTATATTTGAAAAGAAACTAAGGTGTGGGATTTATCATTTTTATTGTGGGTCTATGTTCTACACAGGTCCCTGTTCTGCAAATTGTCCAAATGGCTGTAGTGGTAACGGTGAATGCCAGAAGGGCAAATGTGTCTGTCATCAGGGGTACGTAGGTCCTGACTGCAGCAAATGTGCTCAGGGAACCGATTGTACTAAAAGTAAGTGGAATTGCTTTTGTGTGGTAATGTAACATCAATTTAAATATATGCTTGCTATTTATATATTTTTTTTCAATCTTGTAATTTGTCATTTTCAGAATCTACCAAGAGTAAAACCAAGGAAACAGATGAGATTATGACGCCACAAAAAAAGGACCAGAAGAAGGAACCTGAAGCTAAAGAGCCTGAGAGCAAGCCAAGAGTGACCATTACTAACAAACCAGTTACCGTCAAAACACCAGTGAGACAAGAGATTTCTGTGAAAAAGGTAACAGCCAAAGGTTCTCCTGTCATCACTAAGCCTGGTCGCCAAACTGTCACCCAAGTCCTCTTGAAACATGATTCAAAGAAACAAGAAGAGTCAGGAAAAAGCAAAACAGTCCAGGCCTCTGCAAAGGTTCTCCAAAAACCAGCCCAAACTGGCTCTAAAAAAAATATTAATAAAATTGTTAAGGAAAGAAGTGAGGGTAAACCTTTTACGAAATCTGAACAACTGAAAGATGAACCTCAAACCAACGCTACCCGGGAAACTTTTAAAAAATTTAATGTAACAGCTAAACTTGTGACAATTTTGACAAAGGTATTGGGAACTAACAAAACCAGGACAGGAAAGGACACTCTAGAACAATCAACACTGGCCGAGAAGAATGACACCCAGCAGCCAGAAGCCAAACAAGTAAAGACAATCAAAGTAGAAAATACGAGCGCTCAGACAAACAACAACAGAGTCACTGAAGCCGTAAAAGGTAAAACTACACAGAAGAGTCAGTACATAGTAAATGCAACCACTGCCACAGCAGATGAGACTCCAGCTTCGAAGAACAAGACGAGTACCCATGGTACCGGGATATCCAGGTTGACTGGTGGAAACGGATTAGGTTCTGTTAAGGTTATGAACATTTCCTCCTACAGTTTCATTCTCACCTGGTTAGCACCACAGGGTTTGTTCAAAAACTTTACTGTGATCCGAAGAGAACCTCGGGCAGAGGGGGATGAAGAGGACCACAAAGACTTTGAAGAGGAAACTCTTGGATTACACAAAGCCCCAGCAGCGAAGAACCCAGCAGAGGTCCATGTGCAGGGTGAGAGCACGGACACAACTGTTGTATCTGGTAAAATCACTGGATCCAGGGACAAAGCTGAAACAAAGAGGATCTCCTTGGTCGTCCCCGGAAATGTGCGCTCCGTGGAATTCAGTAATCTACAAGCAAACACCCGTTACGTCTTGTACGTTTATGGTAGCAGTGCTGAGAGAAGATCAAAGATTCACAGAGTAACTGCAGTGACAGGTGAGTGAGGTTTTACCACAGAAGGTAATGGTGGATAATAATGTCACAGTCACAGAAACTGAAGCAATAAAAATCTTCATTTTCTTTCCTTAGGTCCTGAACCAGCCACTGATATGGTTTTTAGCGATGTCACAGCGTCCTCTCTCACTGTGGAATGGTCCAAACCAAACACCCCCATCAGTGGGTACAGACTCAGCTACACCAACATTGTCACAGGTTTGTTAAAGAGTCAACTGCAGGACATTCTCCCCATGTCACTTATATCATACATAGCTGAACTATCTTAAGCTTGTCTCTCTAACTTCATCTCTAACTTCATATCTTCATTTCTGCATAGAATACTTAGTGTCTATTTCTCCCCTGACACTGGTCTCCTGAACTTATTCTCAACTTAGTGTCTATTCCTCCCCTGACACTGGTCTCCTGAACTTATCCATGTTTACTGACGGTTGATATTTATCATATATCAATTATCTGCCATTTCCTGTTAGGGGAGAGCCATTCTGTGGCAGTGGACTCTCTGCAGTCTTCCATGGTGCTGTCCAAGCTGTCGGCAGGTTCTTCCTACATTATATCAGTCACTACAACACGAGGAAGTGTCCATGGTGAAGCCCTCATGTCTCTGATCACGACAGGTACCAAGTTTGTTCACAGGTCGTTTTTGACATTGAAACACAGGCGTTAAAGGGAAATAAATCACCTCTTGATTTTGTTGTAACAACAGCACCTGCTCCTCCAACTTATCTACAAGTGGTCAACGTGACCGATACCAGAGCTCTTATCAAGTGGGTGCCCAGTCTGGGTAAAGTAGACCGCTTCATCATCAGCTTTGAGTCCTCCAAGAGTGAGTGTGGCAGCCTTAATATTTATGACTGCTGTGGTAAAGGCTACACAAAGTTTTGTTGACGTTGATTGTCCGTCTTGTCTCAGCTCCTAATGTGACAGTGACAGTGATGCTGTCTGGAAACACAGTGGAACACCAGCTGCGGGGTCTACACAGAGGCACTTTGTACACAGTCAAGGTCCTGAGTGAGAGGGACGGTCTTCAGAGCATGGCCACCTCAACCACATTTACCACAGCTAACGGTAAACAGAGAGGAAAATACAAGATCGACATGAAAATTGGCTGCTAAACCTCGACAACGCATGTACTCCTGTGTCTCTCAGTGGTTAAAGCCAGCGAGGTGGGCACACGTGATGCAGTCATAACCTGGAGAAGTTCCACTGTTGTCTATCACAGCTACAGAGTGATCTACCAGGTGGCAGGGGAAGAAGCAAAGGTAAACTACCAGTATCTGTCTGTACTATGTGCCGTACGCATTAACTGCTTTGTCTCAAAAACGCCATTCTCAAGTTCAATAGTTCTGCTACAAATACTGGGAAATCAGTGAAGACAACATGCAGGCTACAGTTCAGCTCATTTCCATTGGAAGATAATCCTTATCTGTGTGTGTTGTGTACATCAGGAGGAGATCTTGGACTCAACCTTCACTGAGTATAAATTGACAGGGCTGTTGCCCATGTCACGGTATACGGTTCTGGTCCAAGGTGAAAGAGATGGACTTTACACGTCTCTGGTCACCACTGAATTCATTACAGGTCAGCACTAACCGTCGGTTTATTTTCCCTACGGAATCTCCAGTATTTTTCAAAATGGTAACTTTCCTTATCCTTCAGGCAAACTTCGATTCCCTTTCCCAACGGAATGCTCTCAGGAGCTGCTGAATGGCGCTCTGCAGTCGGGTGAAGTGGACATTTACCCACAAGGAAAGGAAGGGCAAGCTGTCAGAGTCTACTGTGACATGGAAAGTGATGGAGGTGGATGGACGGTGAGACAAACCACTGATACCGGAATGGAACTTTGAAATGTGGAAAGGACAGGGAAAACAATGTGCCGTGTGTTTCTAGGTGCTGCAGAGGAGGATGAACGGAAAGACAGACTTCTACAGAACCTGGAGCGATTACAAAACTGGCTTTGGAAATCTGAGCGAAGAATTTTGGCTTGGTATTACGAAAACCTGATTCCTAATTCTTACCGGTGAATTTTAATCGAGACATGATTAAGGTTTAGTTTCTCAGTCTGACCCTTTCTGTCTTTTATCCAACATGCAACAGGAAATGATCTTCTTCACAACCTTACCAGTGTTGGTCCCGTGAGTCTGCGAGTCGACTTGCAGTCTGGAAACGACACGGCTTATGCTCATTACGCCAACTTCTCCGTCGATTCCGAGGAGAGGCACTACACTCTGACGGTGTCCGGATACACAGGCACTGCAGGTGAACACATATCAATGAGTTACAGTTTCTAACAACATGTGCACCAATATACAGTGACATAGAGACAAATAAGAGATGACGTACGTGCCTTTATGTCTGTCAGGTGACTCTATGAGGTATCATAATGGACGTCCATTCTCAACCTGGGACAAAGACGTTGATCCTTTGGATACTCACTGTGCCAAAGATTACAAGGGAGGCTGGTGGTACAGAAACTGCTACAAGACCAACCTCAATGGTCTCTATGGTATCAACAGCAACAATCAGGTCTGATCAGTCTTCTGTGTATTTTTAAATAATATTTTTTAGTGACAAGACTTGTTAATCTGTGGTGTTTCCTTTTCTGCTTCAGGGTGTGGTCTGGATAGACTGGAAAGGTAAAGACTCCTCCATTCCCTTCACTGAGATGAAATTCAGGCCATCCAGATTCTCTCCAGCAACTCATGGCTAAGGATTGACTTGATAAATAAATCCAGAGGAGAATGAATGTCACAGTTGCTGCATGTTACTTTTTTCAAGTGAATTTGTGTATGCTGTGTTTTTTTGTTCTTTTAAATGACAGCTATCAACACATTTGTATCAATGTGTTTTCAAATATTTCTGAGAAAAAAAAAAAGAATGGGAAACTTTTTTCAACTGCAACTTTTTGTATACAACTTTTTTGCCTGACCCAAAAACTTCTGCATCAATTTTGTCAAAATTAAAAAAAAAATCTCTTCATGTCATGGTTTGCATCCTCACTGCTACTGTAATGAAATGTGCACTGTCTGGGAATAAATGTGTCTATTTTGGGTCTGAAGTGTTGTTTCATTGCATAATCTAGATTCTGCTAAACAAACCAGCCTGATGATTCTTCCCCTGTGATGTGTTGTTTTGCCCTTCAGCACGTACCAACTGGTTTATCAGCCAGTGTCTGACTACATGTTTAGGAATTCCTCTCCCAATCTGATATCATGACCTAAAAATGTTTGGATGTCCCTGGTGCTCATCAGACCAGCTGACACAGAGGAGGGAAACGGGCTGAGGTGACTATAAATGGACCAAACTGTTTGACGATCTGCTTTTTGAACAGAGCAACAAGAAGATGGCCGTAGAACTTTCTGTGGTCAGTGTGGGAGCTGTCCTCTTACTTGTGCTGCTGTTGTTGGCACTGAGCGGTGTTTTTGATCAGAAGAGCAGAGCTGAAAAGGACGACAAGGAACGTAAGTCTTCAGGATCAATGAATCAATAAATAGCACAGATGTTATTTGCATGCAAAAATGACAAAAGAAATACAAGAAAGTCCGTCTCTTGGTCGGTGAGTAAAGTTCTGTAACTTAAGGATGAATACAACAACAGAATTTAAAATTTGAAGTATTCTGATCAAAGTCTCACGTATGTTTCTGAGTTTCTTTTAAATTGATGTAACATTGATTAATACATAGATTTCTTTTTATTTAAAACCCGATAATTAAAACCCATGATTAAAAGGTTTTGCTGGTTTGGCATTTCATGTATGGATTATGGTTTCTTGAAATTTATTTCATTTATGATGTGCACATAAACCTGATTTGGTTTGTTTGGTTTAAACTCTCGCTCTGTTATCACAGTGGGAAATCAGTGGACTTGGCGGAGGTTTGCATTTTCAGAATGTTTTCCTCAGTCTGAGTGATTACTTTAACCATTACTTTAACCTAGTGGAAACTTTTTCCACAGCGCCCCCCACCCCTTTTAAACTTTAAACTTTTTCCACAGCGCCCCCCACCCCTCCCCACTTATGTACTTAAGACTATTGTCAAGATGCTAAGTTAACAGGTTCGCAACATTAATTCATAAAAAAGAGGAAATTAAGGAAATAAAATGACAAATCAGTGCTATGGAAAATTAAAATTGCCCTACTCCATACTTACTCTTATGTTTCTTCTTCTGTGATCTAGATGCCCATTCTGGAACTGTCCCAAAATGTCGCTCTGAGTTTCTTCCTCGTTCCTCATCTCCATCCATCCCAGGTCCTCGTGGTTTCTTTCTTATTGGGAACATGATGGAGCTGGCACACGACCATCTGCCCATTCACCTGACTCAGTTGGCACGACGCTACGGGAACATTTATCGTCTTAAATGTGGAAACACAAGTAATCAAATCAATTCCAACGTCATTCTTCAGTATAAATGTATAATCGTACCGTATGATGTCACAGAAAAACTGTTTATGTTGGTTTACCAGCCATGGTGGTGCTGAGCAGCAGTGACCTCATCAGAGAAGCACTGGTGAAGAAATGGTCTGACTTTGCTGGGAGACCAATATCATACACAGGTGAATATATATAAATATATATATATTAAACAAATACATATATATATATATATTTACAAATATATGTGTGTGTGTCTCAGGTGATATTGTGTCAGGTGGAGGGCGCTCCATCTCTCTGGGGGACTATACAGAGGAGTGGAGGGCACATCGTCGTCTGGTCCACGGAGCTTTGCAGCGTTGCTGCCACCAATCTTTGCAAGAAGTGATCGAGAAACAGGCGCTGCATCTGCGACAGGTAAACGGCAGAGAAAATATATATTATGTAATTCAGTAGACACTAGAAACATGACGATAATAATGTATAAAGAATGACAGAAATGCAAAGAACAGATTAACCAAAAAGGGGGGTTTTCTGTCACGATCCTGCAGGTTTTGATGGACTATCAGGAGAGGGCCGTGGATCTTGCGGAGGATTTCACAGTGGCTGCCAGTAACGTCATTACCACATTGGCTTTTGGGAAAGAGGTATATCTTTGGTTCCACAGCTTGGTTCATGCCCTGGGTAAATAAAAAGCAGCAGTGGAGATTTATAACAAAATTTGCCTTTTATCAATGAACAGTGATTGAGGCAGTGCAGTGACTCCTGAGAGCTGGGGAATTCCACTGTTTATGTTGCTCTTTTTAGCAGCTTCCTGCACACATGCACATTCATAATGTGTGACTCCCCCAGTGGACAGTTGCAATAGACTACCATTTGTGAAAAAAAAAAAATTGTGTGTTTTAGTATGACAAGAGTTCCACAGAGCTGCAGCAGCTGCACTGCTGTCTGAATGAAATAGTCGGCCTGTGGGGCTCCTCCTGGATTTCTGTGCTGGACTCCTTCCCACTGCTCAGGGTTGGTAGATATGGAGCAATCTGACGTTACAAGAGTGATTAGCAAAAATGGATATTAACACACTGACCCTCTCTGTCTGTTTTTTTTGACAGAAATTACCAAACCCTGTGTTTTCCCGTCTTCTGAAAGAAGTAGCCAAGAGGGATGAAATAATACAACATCACCTCAACAGTTACAAAGTCAGTACAACCACATGATAAAATGAGTCATAAGATCAGAAGGTCATGGAGAATGGAAGGACTGTGTTTTGCTACAATAACTGGCACTTAAACTCAATTGTGTAACCACAAACACCACACGCAATGCAAGGTAGCTCATGTATAGCCATGGGTACGCAAACCTTAGTTTGAGGACCCTTGATCTAAGTCGAACTAGAAGTTGATTTTAAATGTTTTAAATGGTTGTTATTACCACACTTTTTTTTGAGTGAGTTAGTGAGTTTTTTAAAGTATTTTTAAACCTCATTTTGTTTTCACAGTCGCATGGCAAAAAGGAAGGCACCATTACACAGTCTCTCCTCCAGGGAGTGGACGAACAGAACACCCGAGAAGACGGAGAGGTGAGAAGGTTCACCAATACACAACTGGGGAATGAATAAAGAATAAGAATAACGGGTTAAATCAGTTGAACACCAATGTTCTCCCTGTTCCTCGTCTCCAGCATCTCACAGATGTTCATGTTCACATGGCCACTGTGGATCTTATCATTGGGGGAACAGAGACTGCTGCAGCCTGGCTCAACTGGACCATAGCCTTCCTTCTGCACAGACCAGAGGTTTAGCTTCAGTCCTGACATTTTCTTTTTAATTTGTCAACCTACATATATATTGTCAGTGAACTTCATTTTATTCTAACCTTTAGATACAGACCAAAGTATACGAGGAGCTGTGTACTGTACTGGAGAGCCGATACCCAAAGTACAGTGACAGACACAGACTTCCTGTTCTCTGCTCTCTGATCAGCGAGGTTCTCAGACTCAGGCCGGTGGCCCCACTGGCTGTTCCACACAGAGCCATCAGAGACAGCAGGTGAGCTTTCCTGAATTTGAAAGACAAGATTTATATTTATTATTCTATTTTCTTCTCTTTCCTGTGCATGTTGAGGCTTGATGAGATTGGACAAGGACAACAATTTGAGTTCCCACATCTAAGGCTTTCCCAGTCTTTGACAAAAAGTAGTTTATTTAATAATTTTAATATGAGGTTTGGGGAAGGGGCAGCAGAGGTGAAATTTCCTTCTCCCATGCAGTAATTTATATCTGATCACAAGGATCTCCGCTACACCTTCCAAATTTGACAGCCAACCACCAAGGAGCAAAAAATCCCGCTTAACTTCGTGGTTCCCATGGGGGGCGCCAATGCACTTCATAACATTAAATCTCCGAAAAACAGTAGTCAAGGAGAATACTTTGTAAGAAACACAATTCACCAAAAAATAAGTAATATTGACAGAAAAAGTATATTGACAGAGTTAAATGTTTTTATACCTAAATTACAATGAGGAAAAAATACAAATATTATAGTGAAATACTTTTTTTTTCTCTTAGTTTTAGGAGTGTTGTTATAACTCTCTGGTTAATTCAGTGCTGGTTAACACATTTTAATGTCCAACCTTCACATGGTTAGCATTGCAGGTTACTTTATCCCCAAGAACACTGTCGTCATTCCTAACCTTTTTGGAGCACACCACGACCCTGCGGTTTGGACCGACCCGTACAGCTTCAGACCAGGTACCGCTCTAACTCATTCCTCTCATTTTTCTCAGCACTCCCTAAATAAAATGCTTACTTTCTTACTTTAGAGCGCTTTCTGGAAGGAGGCGGAGGCTCCAACCGGGCCCTCATCCCATTTGGAGGCGGAGCTCGGCTCTGCCTGGGAGAGTCTGTCGGTAAAATGGAGCTCTTCTTATTCACCGGCTACTTGTTGAGAGATTTTGAGTTTATCCTCCCTGTGAGTGAGACTTCACTGCCTGAGCTGAGAGGAATTGCCACTGTTGTGCTCAAAATCAAATCCTACAACGTCATTGTACGACCAAGACCTGTGGCTAGTTCCTGATCTGCAGGGGGAACACCGCAGTACTCAAACGGTCCTACTTCAGTACTGCCAGTATTACCACTAATTACAGTTACACATATCAAACCAGTTCAGATAAGTGATGAAAAATATTTATTCCTAACAACATACGCTATATGTCGAATGTGTCAAAGCTACAATGTACTATGAAGTATTGCCGTGGTGGGTATTTAAATTACGGTAAAAAGAACAGAGAGAGAGAGAGCATGCCAGATTATAGAACACCTGTGTTTTTAACAACTAAATGAATCATTAAATTCTAATAGAAAGCACTTTGTTTTTTCTGGTGTATATACTATACAAGCGTGCGCACACACATCTTCACACTAACTCCAGCACTTACTGTGTGTGTATAATTCAAAATGTTTGACCGTTAGCTTGGTCGGCACCGGCAGCTACACCTGTCCATGGGTCTGGGTGAGAGTGTTTGGATGAAAAATGCACTGAGCTAGAAATAAATAATTTCTTTTTGCTTTTTATTACACTGTACTTTAAAATAAAATTCTAAAAAATAAAAATGTTCTACGTTCTGTGAGTTCTGGTTAAAGCTGTCGTCTTGCTGATTAGCCAAAGGTGTTAGCAGGAGTTAGCAAAACAAAAACCTTTATTTGAAGAAATCGTGTGCTTCATAGTGTGACGCTAAACTACTCTTTACTAACCAATTGTAGCTTTAAAGTATGAAATACAAAACCTAGAATATTTCAGGGAGTCTGACAGCACCACCTTGTGGACAAACATTGCTACAAGGCGCAGTACAGTATAGAGCAGGGGGCGCCAAGTAGTACCCGTGGACCACCTTAGGTGCCCACGGGGGATGTTCTAAAAATAAAACTAGTCAACAAGGGGGTCGAAAATGATACTGTTACTGTACTTTTTGAATCAGTTACACTTGCAATGATATTCAAATGGATGCAATGACGATGGTATAAGTGTCTAATACTGTATGTCCCAGAAGATTATTACATTGTTCGGGAAGTCTGTATCTCTTCGTATTACTAAGTGTACTTCAAGTAGCTCTCAGTTAAAAAAAGGTTGGTGACCCCTGGTATGGAGACATCAGGCTTGTAAATAACCTAAAATTCTGAATTTTGAAAATTTGAAGACTGTCTGCAGGTCACAACTAAGTAAAATACACTGAATACATGACTACCAGTGAGAAACCGGAAGTGAGAAAGTGTGCCATCAAACTGTTTACCACAGTCACACAAACATTTCCTCTATTTTCCTCACGAGGAACGAGGAACTCTAACCCGAGGTGACGGATTCTGAAATCAGTAACAGTTATTTTTAAACTTATCACTGAAAAACATTTTATGTCTCATTCTATAAGTTAATTATTAGTCAAGAAATGAAGAACAAAAGCATGGGTCCACTCAAACAAAAGCCTAACTGGACCACTGACCCAGTTTAATTACAGACTGAAGTTTCACTATTACATCGATTTACATTTGTCTACATTTGTGCCTTGTTAATCAAAAGCAGGTTCTAAAAAAAATGTTTCCCGGAGTGACATAAAACACGGATTAACTGTGAGCGAATTTTAATTGACCAGAAAAACTGCATCCAATCACACGTGGTATACGATGTTCTCTGTCAAGCCACCTGTCAAAGACAGAAATACATAGGCGTTGGAGAACAGAGCTGCCAGTGAGTGCAGTAAAACAAGAAAAGAGAAGAAGAATAAAGCGCTCACCTTGTGACGGTGGAATGAACATAAGCTCGTAATAAGCACAATTCGACTGCGTCAGTAAACCTGAAGCGTAATCACAACACAGACAGTTAGTCATGAGACGTCACCTGTGTCGAGCTGCAAGTAACAAACAGACAGCACACCTGTTGGCTGCCACTGCCTCGGCTGAGTGACTCTCCTGACGTGTTTGCAGTAAATTGCAAGTCCTGTTAGCGCAGCCACGGACAGAGTCACCAAAATCACGGACGCCACAACAGTGGACGTGGGAAGGATGCCCTCGTGTGTCCTTTCTTCTGCTTCAAATCAACATAAAGAATTAAAATGTACTGTCATTTCATGTACATACACTTTGCAGGAGTACATTGTAATTGGTTGACTAACCCACGTAAGATAGTCATCTCACGTCATGGGTGACGCAGTATTTTTGTGTCTGTCCATTACATGATCAAAAACGTTACAGTTGTTTCATCTTTGTACATTTAGTAGCCTCACAGGTATATTTGCTAACAGTAGCTACTAGCTTTCTGAAATACTTACCAAAATGGGCTAATGGCTAGTTTAATAGTTTAGTATTATTATTTAGTCAATTCTGGTACCTAATAGTTTGTTAAACAGTAAGTTAAATCAAGGTAGGAGGTGGGAAAAATAAGTCAAGAAATAGAAATAACTATGTATAGGAAAGATAAGTAATGGTCAGCTGCTACTTCACTGTTTCTATAATATGACATGGTACCTGAGTGGCTGGGAGTGGTCGTCACCTCTTCATAAGAATCTGATGAAGAAAATTTGAAAAATTACATACAGTACATAATAACTCTTTTGTTATGGTTGGTGGAGATATTTTTAGATTGAAAAGCTTGACCTCTGACCTTGAACCTGAACGTTGATTTCTAAGCAGTGCCGAATTTTTATGTGATCATAACTACATCTGTACCAAGCACTGTCCCTGATGCTGGCAGACCGCAGAGTCAACCATGTGTCCTTCACCTCAGCTCCTTCAGACCTCAATGGTATGGGTCTCCCTCCCTTGACCACTGACCATGAGACATTGAGTGGCCTGTCTTGTCTCTCTGTGTCCGCTGCACAGTTCAGTTTCAGGTCTGTTCCGCTTTTCACCTTCATTGATGGGAGGAAACTGCATTCTGAGAGAAGAACAAATCGCATTTGATTCATCGCTCAGTGGAACCTTTTTTGGTCAAAGGGAACCAAAAGCATAACTTCCAACTTCACAAAGACTCTCTAACTTCCATTTCTACTTCTGGAAATGACCAGAATTACCGTGATAGATAGGTAAAGCCGACTGTTAAGTTTAATGCAATTTATTTGCTGAATTAATGGAAATGTTAACACGTAACCACAAATTTATATAATGTTCAAAACCTTAAAAATGTGTGAAGTTTCTTTAGATTATGTTTATTTTGTTAGTTTTAGGACCTAAAAACATTAACTGACATTTAAAGTCAGCATTAAACATGGGTAGTGGCGCTTCGGCCCAGAGGCAATGTCTCTGTCATTGGTGTGGAACTCCAGGGTTCACCTCCTGGGCGAGATCAAATCCCAGTTAGGGCAGTTGGTACCTTCCAGTGGACTCACCACCCACAGGAAGGTTCAGGGGGGTTGGTATGGTGCAGTGTGATTTGGGTGGTGGTCATAGAGACTGCTGCCCCGGTGACCCAGTAACGGATAAGCTGATGAAAATGGATGGATGGATGGATGGATGGATGGATGGATGGACTGGATGGATGGATGGATGGACTGATTAAACAGAGGTTGTCAAACATTTGCACCCTCTGTTGGTGAATTATATTTTGTATTTGCGAAATGATGGTTACACAAAAATGAGAAAACAAAGCAGTGTATGTGTGTGTTTAAGAATTGGGTTTTTCATTGAATTGGCACCTTAACGGCACAGTGCACCTTAACAAACATCTTAATAACATTATTAGAAACAAATTCTCTTTTTAAATACACTATGTTCAACAACATGTATTTTTATGTGGGTCATACTTGTAGTACTTGAACGTACAAATATTTTCTCAGCTGATTGAAAGTGTAAAAACTTTTAAGAAAAAGTAAAATGTGATCTACTCATTAACATTCATAAGAACTGATGTTGTGTAATCTCACCTCTCACTCTTAACGATATGTTTTTGACCTGAGTACAATCCCAGCCTGGACAGACCTCACAGCTGTACAGTCCTTCGTCAGATTTGCTCAAATTTTTCAAAAGAAGAGACAGCTGTCCGTTTTCATCAGATTTCCATGCTGCACGTTCACAATCCTGGCTGTGACGAGGCATGGAAAGTATAACTTTAGGTTCGCCGGCATCATTGGAATACTTCATCCATTTCAGCCTGCTGCCTTTCTCCGGAGAGACACAAGGGAGGAGAACATGCCCATCTACTGAAGCAGACACTGTCTGTGATGAATGAGCTATGACGTAGCATAGAAACAGGCAAAAAAAAGCAAAACTGTAATTATACAAGCAATTAATGACATGATTAATAATTCAAGAATACCTCAGTGACCAGCTCACCTATGCAGTCAAGTGGAATCAGTAACAGGACGGTTAGAAAAAAACCCTGTGGAGGTGAAGGTGCCATTATTTTCAAGTGGATGTGTGCTACAGCCCGAGCATCTTTGGTTTCCCCTCACCACCTATTTTCACTTCTCCAAGTTACACTAACTCAGATGCAAACTCCAACATATTAACTTCTGTACATAGTGTTACCTGGTTGCAGGGTGGTTAGCAGTTGACATCATGTGACCAAATACAGGAAGTAGTATGTGGCTAAGCTATGCTATGCTATTCTATTCTATTTTATTCTTACATCTGTTGGGATCTATTTTCAATATTAATACTCTGTAATATTACAAGGTAATACTGTTTAACTACTTGTTGTGTTAATGTCTAATATATTATATATATACTGTATAATTCATGATAAAATGTAAATGTTCAATATATATGAATTATACAAATTATAATATTGTTTGATGAAACAAAGTTTCTCAGTAGATTCACGCACAAGCCAAATTAAGTTTTCATAAACAGAGGTTTAATGAACATATTACACATCTAATCTCATTTAAATTTAGTCGACTAAAATAATTGATTAATTTGATATTATGTCAACTGTAGCTAAACTGAAATTAAAACACTAAATGTGATGATGTAAAACTTTCATCAACTGCAAAAATCCACCAAAACGTTCAACTTCTGCCAACAGTTCCTGCTGCCACTGATGTGTCACTTCTCCATAATGGTGATGTGGTTCATTTGAATAAAACCCAGGCTTTCATTATCATGGAAGTTTATGTCATATTTATGTCATGTCGATGTTTCTTCATGGGTGACACTAGTGTCTTTTCCTTCCCTCTGTGCTAGGATTCAGGGTAATTGTGAAAATTCTAATCATGCAACAACTAACGTAGGAACCTTGCGACTGCAAAGTGAAACTGTCCCTACACTTCCTCTTCTGGGGTCATTTTTATAACGTGTCAGAAAAAGTCCTCTGTGTCTAACAGTGCAGTTTTCACTTTTGCTCTCAACAACCGTTCACAGAAATGGACAGCCGTGTTCAAGGTAAGGTCAAGGATTTGTTCTCATCTTTTAAATCCACATTCAGTTCTATCTGATCTGAACTGAACTGAACTGAACTGAACTGTAGCAGGGAGAGAATTAATGATAATATAGTGGGTGTGGTACTCACCTAAAATGTTTGGGGCTTTGTTCACAGGTGGTAAAGCGTTTGGTCTCCTTAAGACTCAGCAGGGAGAGAAATTAAACTCTATTAATGAGGTGGGTCAAATTGACATCTTTAAATAAAGTCATCAGGTTACAGACAATACTGTTTGATACAAAAATGCTCATAGTAATAATATTTAATAATAATAATATAATAAGTGTCATTTATTTACTTTATTCTCTGTCAGGCTTTTCTATCAGACCCAAAATATGCAGAAGAGGAGGATCTTTCCTCCAAGCTTGAAATGTTTAAAAGTAAGTACTGCCACTCACTTCTCAGCTGACTGTTGAACTCAAGCACTCTTAATACATTTAGTAATAAGCTCATGTTTGTTTGTATTATAGAAAAATACATGGAGTTTGATCTAAACGACAAAGGAGAAATAGGTAAGAGATTTTGCGCCCACAGTGACCAAATGTTCCTTAGACAATGTTTACTCATTCTGTATCTGATGATCACTGTCACAGACATAATGGGGTTGAAACGCATGCTGGAAAAACTGGGGTTGGCCAAGACTCACCTAGAGCTGAAAAAGATGATGTCAGACGTGGTCGGATGTTCATCCAAAGATACAATCAGCTACAGTGACTTCCTGAACATGATGCTGGGGAAAAGAAATGCAATACTAAAACTGTGAGTATGCAACACTGGCTAATTGGCAAATTAATTTCCATTTTAAATTAATAGTGAGTGGTTTCACAGGAATGACATATATTGGAGTATTGGAGCCAGTCATTTCAGTTTTGCAAGATAAAGTTGCATTATCACGAGTAAGGAAAAAAGTACATTTAAGAGAATAAATAATCTTAATTAATAGTTAATGAGAACAGTGTTCTAATAATACCAAAGTCATACTCCTGTAAATAATACATTAAATATAATAATGTAAAAGTTTAGGAGCCATTTGGTTCCACCTGATGAGGTTCAAAATATATTTTCATATCATATCAACATGTATAATATAACTAAGAGAGTGTGAGTACCTGATGCTACTACCTTTTCTTCCTCAAGGATTCTAATGTTTGAAGACAAAGGGAAGGAACCAGAGCAAAATGACGTCGGACCACCGTGTCGCAAGAGGTTTTCAGACCTGCCTTGAGAAAAAGGAAAGACCGTTAATGTGACTCTTCTTAAATGACATTAAATCTGCATTTTGATAAGAATATTTGAGACAATTTTTTATTATCTGTAAAAAAAAAATGTAAATAAAATAAAAAACAAAGAATGCGCATTCTGTTTTTTAACAAATGGCAGGAAAATGGGCAGCAAAATAATGCTCAAGCAGGTTTTAAAAACAACAACAACAAATAACTCCAAAAAATTCCAAAACACTTAAAATCTAAATATTTTATTGATGCCAAACTATATCATTATATCGTAAAGGCTATTGTAAGATAAAGAAAAGAGCTAGAGTTGGCTTAAAACGTTTGAAAAACGTAAAACGATGGAGACGTTTGATAAAAGTCTCCATCCCAGCTGGTGGCAGTATTTCACTAAATCACTATCAGTCACTAATGTAACAGTCATAACGGCAGAGAAGAAGACCGGAAGTTGTAAACGCAACCAGGAATATTGGAAGAACGGAACGAATTTTAGAATTTAATGCGTTAATAAATTAATAGAACGGTGAGTACATTTTTAGTAACGGTTATACGCCACGAACATCTGTTGCACATTAAACTTGTGTCTCTGACACGGGTTGTTTTACACTGCCTGCAAACGATTACTAGTGCTAACCAGGTAGCATTTAGCTAAAGAATGTAGTAGGATTTAGTAAAGTGAAGGCTTGTTGGCGATTTTGTGTTTGAGTTTTTGTTAAACAATTCAGTGTAGTAAAAATATAGCTAAATAAAAGTACAATACAATTGTGTTTGTTAAGTTTACATGGTGAGACTATGAAGCGGAGATTAGCCGGTAGCTCAGCAGTGAAATGATTCCAGTTTTCACTGCGGTTATGTTTTGGGTTGTCAGGAGGATGAGCAGCTCAGAGGAAGTGTCCTGGATATCCTGGTTCTGTGGACTCAGAGGAAACGAGTTCTTTTGTGAGGTTCGTCTGCTGCATTGTCGTTTGCCTACTGCTGTATGAAACTGTGTTGTTGTTGCCGTGTTTGTTGTAACTCGTGGCTACCTCTGCTGTGGGACAGGTCGATGAAGACTACATTCAGGACAAATTCAACCTGACCGGTTTAAATGAGCAAGTGCCTCACTACCGTCAGGCTCTCGACATGATCCTGGACCTAGAGCCTGGTGAGATCATCAAAGAAGAAACCACAATAAATAAAATAAATAAAAACTGCAAAGAAAGTACAATGAGCAAACATTAATAAATATTTGATTTGCCCTTACAGATGAGGAACTTGAAGACAACCCAAACCAGAGTGACCTGATAGAGCAAGCAGCAGAGATGCTCTATGGGCTGATACATGCACGCTACATATTAACAAACAGAGGCATTGCTCAAATGGTAGGCTGACTTGCAACCTTATTTTCATTCATCAGTGAAATAGGTAAAAATCTGTTTAAAAATAAATCCTACTTTACAGCTGGAAAAATATCAACAAGGAGATTTTGGCTATTGCCCTAGGGTCTACTGCGAGAATCAGCCGATGCTTCCTATTGGTTAGTCTCAGATTTCTTTCAATTTCTTTTAACCTTTATTTCAGCATAAACGCTAATGGGACTCTGTTTTCTGAAGGTTTGTCAGACATACCCGGAGAGGCAATGGTGAAGCTTTACTGTCCAAAGTGCATGGACGTCTACACCCCAAAGTCATCCAGACACCACCACACAGATGGAGCCTACTTTGGAACAGGGTTCCCCCACATGCTGTTTATGGTGCACCCAGAATATCGTCCAAAGCGTCCAGCCAACCAGTTTGTGCCAAGGTTTGAACTCCATTATCTTTTATCATTTACATTAGTTATTCCATTTGTATGCATTTCTGCAGTGTTGCCAGATTCTCAAATTGCAGTTGAGCAATTGACCGTATTTTGGTAGCAGGATAAAATTAGTAAAATAAAATGTAAATAAAATAAATAAACCTGTGACTCTTCTTCTACCTCTGTTTAGGTTATACGGTTTCAAGATTCATCCAATGGCTTATCAACTTCAACTTCAGGCTGCATCAAGTTTCAAAAGCCCAGTCAAGACAATTCGCTGAACCTTAGTGCTGACAAGAAGAAAACAAAAACAGTTGGACTCATTTAGTACTGGTTTGAAAGAATGGATTATATGTATATGCCCAATAAATGTTCCTACAAGTTATGTCAACTTTTTGTTGATATTTTGAATTTAATCACAGCTGTTTATAACTGATTTTTAATCTGTCTAATTTGGGGTTGAAAAGCATGCTATAATATTCAAGAGTAAATCTTTTTACAGGTCTCTGGACTTTTCACTAATCTGATGTCAGCAGAAAACATTGACTGACAGACAATATCAGTCTTTATTAAAAATAAATACAGTATACTATGTAGTAGGTTTAGTTTGTTTGGTGTGACATTTTTTTAAATGCTTTCTCCTGACAAAATTAAAATGACCATTTTACACAGACCAAATCTTAACATTTTTGTTCCTGTATGTACATAAATAAATACTTAAATGTACTATATATGTAGTCTTTATCTGTTTTACAAATTTGGTGGGAGTCAAAAATATACTTTTCAACCAGCAGTTGAACTTAGTGTGGATCAATTGTTGCAACACGCATTTTCAATCATTATTCTTAGTAAAATATAAAACCCACAAAATGCAATTAAATGCACATTTTATTTTTTTTCATTAAAAAGGCAAGCCACAGAGCAACAATAGTTGCCATTGTCTAAAAACTATTTTTTCTGGTGAAACTATTTTGTTTGTTTGTTGTTTTTTTTTTTTTGTTTTTTTTTTTTACACAGGAGAGTTTACTGCCATTGACCATGTAACTAAAAATCCAAAAAACATCTTTTGGGGGTTTAAATAAAAGCCTAACAAACATTCTATCCACAAAGAGATACATACATTTGACAATTACTTCTCTAAGCATAAAGGGACAACAGCAGGAGAAGATGCAGTCCTAAAAGGACAAAGGTCAAAAGGCTTTACAAACTTGATCAATGAAGAACATGTTGACAAATCCTGTGAAAGTCTAACAATGGGCTCATGTGGAAACATCACACAACACGTAAATGACACCAAAGGTTCTCTAATTTACAAATAAATTACTGCTTAGTAGAACATGTAGAGTGGAAGTCATGTTAAACAGGACGAGCTGCCTTCACCTGTCATGGATGTGTTCACTGTGACAGACGGCATCTTTTATTTACTGATCTCACTTGGCTGTGTGTAAATATATGTAGTTTGGGTGACAGTGAGGATTTACATATATATGGACAAACAGTGAGGGAGGTCTGTAGTTTTACAAACAATATCAAAACCTGAGTTAAACAGACCAATGCTAGTTTTTTTGTTTGTTAAATCAACTGAATATATTCATAGCAGGGGTGATGTGTACACTACAGAATACAAACAGGGCTGAGGGAAGCACTTTACTGTTTACTAATTTTGAAGGAAATTGTCATCCTTGGTCAACTACATGAGGTAAAAACACAATAATGATTCAGGGTTTTCAGGCAGCTGAATAACTTAAAACTCCTTATTTTGTACAGATACTATAAAAAAACATCAAGTCTATAAAAACGGGTTATTTCAAAATAGATCATTTTCCATCCAAACTACATATTAATTGGCTACAGGTTTAAGGGGCCAAAAAAAGAGATTTGATTTTAAAATTACCTGAGCAGTCAACAAAGGGAATATAACTTTGACAAAGAGAATAAAAATATTCACGTGTAATAGAGGTAATTTTGTTACAATTTTCTCTCCTGTAAACAGCAAAAAAAAACCAACTTGGCCATAGGATAAGTTTCAAAGGAAAATTGAACTAGAGAGAGTGGATTGGTTTAAAATGAACAATTTGAAAACCACAAGAAAAATGAAAAGCATTAAAACCAGACATCAATGAACTGACATAATTTAAAATTCTGTATGGGGTCATTGACGGTTAACGGACTAAGCTTTAAGATTAAAAACTCCAGATCTGTGCAGCTCCTCTACCTTCACTGCAAATTGAGCTCTCAGATTCAGAGTTACAAGTCACTACGTGATCAAAAACTTCAGTCACAGATGAGTGAGCTGTTCCTTTTTTGAATAGTCAAATACCAATGTGTGTAAAAGAGAGAATAAGTAAACGCTGGGGTCTGCACACTGAATAGGTGACGTCAAGAAGCGGAGAAAAGTCAAGAGTCAGTTACAACGCTGATGCTCCGCCATGTTTCTCCTACAAGACAAAGAAAACCAGAGAAGATGAATGATCATAGTCACAGGAGCAGTTAGGATTATTTTAGCTGTTCATCAAACAGCAAACATGTCTAAAATATTACATTCATCTCCCTGATTAACAGTTACTTTTTGAAAATTGACTGAAAAATAAAAAACTTTTTTTCCATTAGTTTCTTTAGGTTTTCCTGGTGCCACGGTCAGAGGGTGTGTACCTTATCTTGGTCAAAATCAGAGTCTGCCGTTATGACAATCCTCTTCTCTACTCGAGTCTCTGAAGAGCCGCTTTTCACTACCTGGGGCAGAAAAAAAATTCATTTATTCATCTTCTACTACAAAGCTGTGTCTAATCCCAGTTGGCTCTGGGAATGTGGGGTTAATCCAAAAGAATAGAATGACCCCGGCTGACCTTTGAAATGTGGGTGGTCGTGGTGGTGACTGTGGTGCCACTAGTCGTCTCCGAGGTAACAGTCTTGGAGCTGGACACAGATGTCCCATCTTTGTCCACGTCTGTCCCATCAACTGTCACCTACAAACATTTGAAAGAAAGCTAAGAATTTCTTCAGGACCGTGTCTCCACCAAGTGCTTCGCTTGCTCCTGTGCTGCCTCGAGCTGAATGTGCTCCACCCAGCCTGTCCGCTCCACCCAACCTGGCTTAGCCTCATCTTCAGCAGCCATGACTTCCATTCAGTTCAGCTGAGACACACCTGACAATGGCAGCTGCCTGAAAACCCTTACCTTCGTTGAGTCATAGGTGAAGGCCTTGGTCTGGACAAGGGGGACCTCTGTGGTGGAGATGCCAGTGGACAGAGAGTTGGAGGCAGCTGTGATGGTGACTGTCTGGGTCTGCACCAGAGGGGGCTGTGGATGGGAGCAGAGCCCCATCAGTGACTCTTTGCACCTCACATCAACCAATTTGTACCCAACCTTGAACTCCACATTGTCAAGCTTCTTCATTGCATGTACCACCCGTCTTATCACCCAATCAGCTCAAATTTAAAGTTTGTTAAACCACCACCACCGACAGTCCCAACAGAAGAAAAGTAGAAGTTAAAGGTTGATCCCAGTAAAGTCAGAAACATGGAGCAGAGAAGAATCTGCTGGTGTTACTATGACCCATCACCAGAGCTGAGACCTGTGCACATCACTGTACAACACATCTGCAGCAGCCACAGTTACATTTGTCATAAGAGATTCACACTACAGTGTGTTTCTACCATGAGTTAAATGTAACGGTGCTGCAAAGAAATGTGCCAGTGTGGCCATCTCGAAAATCGTTCCAAGGCCAAGCAGATAATCAGACAATCAGAATCAGGACTAAAACAAGGCAGTCTGCTCAGCAGGCTACCTGGAAGCAGCGTATGACCTTTGGACCATTGCTCCTGAAATAAGAGGCAGGGGAAGATCCAACTATCGTCCCGGAGCACTCCAAATCTCCAGGACTCGATCCTTCTTCCTCCTGGGTCTCGTCTAAACCTTTACAATCAGGTTTGATGGAGGACGGCAACCGTGCCACCTCCACCTCTACAACCGGCACCAAGGGGGGCTCAAAAACTACAACCTCCTCTTGATCACACGACTCTGAGGCAGAACCCAGGCCTTCATCACCTTCAGGCTCACTCATGGGGTACACAGTGGGACTGGGAATGCCTGACATTTCCAAACTGCTGCCGGTTTCCTCATTTGCAACGTTTGTCACTGAACCACTGCATACGGAGCTAAAGCACTCACTCTAAAAAAAACAAGACAAAACATAAACGTGATCATGTGTGCACAACGGTTTTCTATGAATAATCTGATATGGTGGCATGCAAATATACAACTACTGTATGTATAGTACTTCTGTAACATCACACTACAGATCTTCAGGCAGTTATTGTTTGTTGATTTTACAATGTAGTTACTGAACAGAGTAGAAAATAAGTCTGTAGGTCGTGCAGCAGAATCAAGGACCCATGCAATAGTGAATGGTCAAACAGAAATGTATAGTGGCAGCAGGATGAACAGCAAATGACATATTTATTACACAAGTACAACTTTAATTAGTCAGACCAAAATGAAAGCTGGCGGATACAGAAGAAAAAGAAAAGAAAAACACCCACAAAATACACTGTCCCACCAGAATATGATTATATATATTATACTAAATAATGATTTAAACATCATCATTTAAATAAAATACCAATAAGAGTTCCCTAAACTAAGAATTTTCAATTCCTGTGACTATACCAGCATTGTGTTCAACTAAATAGGCCCAGATTTCAAACTGAGTAAGTAAATTTCTTTAGGACATTTTTTGTTTGGTGGTGCACCATGAGACTTTTCACACTTACAATATCTGCTGTGGCCTAAACACTGGACTGATCTAAAAAAAAATATTCAAGAAACCAAAATCTTTCCTTTAAAACGCACCTTTCGTCTGGGCCATAATCATATGTTCCCAATTATCTAAGATGTTTTCTTCACGTTCATCTCCTTTGGGCTAATCCTTTCTCGGATCACTACAACATCATTTCCATCTCACAATTTCACCTACGACTTCTATGACCTTCAAAACACTGACAAATCTCAAATCTCTTTCCAACATCTTTTGTCAAACATATCCACCACATCTCTTCCTCAGTTTAAACAACTTCATGTCAACTCAGAAGGAATTTGGTTAGGAAGTGCAGAAGTTGAAATTTACCTGACAACATGCAGCCTCTTCAAAAGGATTCAAAGGAATTATCTGGAGTGTCTTTTATTCTTTGGTCAAAGATGATTGTCAAAAATCATGCAACAAGAAACTTTCAACGATAAAGGAGTTAACAATTATCACAATGAAGCTGCCTTGAGAAAACACTATGCTGTACTGACAATTGATATTAGCAGTGATCAGACTGTAATGGAATCTTTCATCCACAATTCCAAGTGTCTACTGTGTGTCTAAAAACACATCACAGTGATTGTTTATCCAACAACAACAATAAACCAAGACGATAGGAATGCATCTCAAATGTTTATAAAATCGTACTCAAAGTGATGTGATTGTTTATAAAAAAACAGTAAACGCCAGGTTGATTGGTTTCTTTTAGAGTCCCAGAGACAGAAATGCAAAATGAATGAAACCAAAAGGATGACGGTCATTTTTTTAAGTTCTCCTTAGTCTTGAGAAAACATTGTGTAGCATTAGGACGTGCAGGAAAAAAAACAAACAGTCTTTCCCTCAAAAAGGCCAGAAAAAAGGACAGCTTCTAGAGTGGAGCTGAAGATGAGAGATGAAGAATCTTAGCGTAATGCAGCGGAGGGCATGAAGGAATGAGGAGGTGAAGAGAAAAGCTAGAGGTTGATGGGCAGGTGGACTGGGTGCGGTCTCCACCGGTCACACTCACACCTGTGTTTGGTTTCCGCAGGGTGAACACCGGCCCTCAGCTGCGTTTGGAGTAGAAGTCTAGAAGTGGGCCACGCGGTAGGCGGATGACAAACTGAGGGTGGAGGGAGGAGGAGGAAGAGGAGGAGGGAAGAGAGATGAGAGGGAGGAATTTTGAAATGTCTGCAGAGACCGACAGTGAACTGAAAAGTGGAAGACTTAGGAAATTGTCTAATTTTTCTGTTCTAATCCCACTGAGTGTTCACTTTGACAGATATGGATTAAAGTAGCAGTTAACCTAGACCATGGAAATGTTTTTGACACATGCATTTTAACATGCATTTTGTAATAGTTATTTCCATGTCCTAGCATCCACAGAAGACTGAAAAAGACAGAACTTCGACCACAGACGTAGGAACCAAACATAGGGATGCACCAAGGATTTAAAGGCAAATAGGTTTAAGTTTAAATAAACTTTCCACTTTTGCCAGAAGACATCGATGCACTATGTATCAGGATGATCCATTATAGTAAATGCATCGAGAGGAAACCTACGGCCTGTTGCAGCTATCTCATAGAATCAAAAACGATTACAGCTCCAACAAATATTTTAAATCATCTAACTTTTTTCCTTTTATTATGTATTAAAATATTGTTATAATTTTTTTAATTAAGATAAACAATATATAATACAGTCATACTGGTGGTTATTAGTTAAGAATGTAAAAGTTATGACAGGTGTGATGGAGACTTTGTGTAAAAACAGCTCAAGAGTAAAAGCAGGTAAAAACAAATCAATTCAGAATGAGAAGAGTGAAGTGCAAAAGAAAAGCTTGATGATGAAGAAGATGCAGGGAAGAGGAAGGAAATTCAGCTCGGCGTCAATCGTGCAAATATTTAAAGACAGTCATCATCTCTGAGTCATGCAAAACAAATGTCCTTGTCCAGTCTGTCAGTCATGCAGGGTGAACTCGCCAGGATTTGTTTGCTTCAAACTTGTCCCAAACTAATTCAATTACATCAGTTGCAACAGTAAAACGATTTGATTAAACTGCATTAGGTCAAACTGCAGTTGTCACAAACATGCACGGGTCACAAACCACATGCTACTGCTTAAAATGCATCCTCGCATGCACACACAACCGCAGAGCTCAAAGTGTCACCAAAATAGGAATGTCACACATCGTTTCCCCTTAACGCCTACATTTTCTTTTGCTCTCATATAGTCAACATTTCAATTGCACTACATCAATGTGTCAGCTACACAAACATCATATACAAACACCACTGAAGAAATACATTTCATCCTGTTGCAAAACAAAATGTGCAGTAAAGGTACTCACTATGGAGATCATAAATGTCATGTATTGAAATCATGTATTGAAAAAAATATAATTTTACTTTATTTGTGGCCATTCATTCTATTTACATGTTTTTATATGTTTTATAGACATAAGGTTTCCAACTGCTCCCTGTATTACAAACACATTAACAAATTATCTAAATTAGGCAATTCATAAAACACAATGTATACCATATATAAAAAATAGTAACAAAAGCTTAATTTGAATCCTGTCGCTGCAGTCACAGTTTGCTAAATTTGAATAGAAGCTAAAAGTTTATTTCAACCAGACTGTTAAATATCAGATGTATTTTGTTCACAATATTAGGAATTGGTGTTTTTTGTGATAAGACTCACCCCATCTGCACCCGGCACAGGCTGACCATTGATACCCAGGGAGCGGAATGGGGAGTGTGTAGACAGGCGCTTGTCCCACTCACTGGGCCTGGGATCTGGCACAGCTTCCATGAAGTTCTTCTTTAGTTTGCTGATGCTGGCGTGATGCCTGAGCAGCTCCTCCTGGGGCTTCTCAAACTCCTATGCAGAGGAAAGTTGAGAAGTGTGGTGGTTGTGGAGGAGCAGGAATAGCACGAAAGGAGCAAGAGGACAAAAGTTGGAGGTAATGGAAGACGGGGGTAAACCAGGAAGTGATGACAGGTGGGAGGAAAAGAGATTTTTGAGAAAGTCACAGTCAGTTTAAGTTGCTTTCAGTATATACTTTTGGATTAAACACAACAAGCAGAAGCAGCAATAATTGGTCATAAATTAGAGGGCACACAAAATCATGACAATCATACAAAGTGGATTCTTGTAAGATTATCAGCAACTCCTTACTGAAATAAAATGTCACGTTAGGCAAATGGATAATTAGGCCAGACTTGATTTCTTTTATCCACTAAATGTCCAGAGGAGGCTGTGACATCATTGTGTTTATGAGACAATCACTTGGAGCTGTGGATGAATCACTGCCCACGGCAACAGTAAGGATGTGTTTAATAGTGTTAGGCTTGCAGCAACACATGTCATGAAAATAGGCTGGAAAATCAAAGAGCAGCAGAGGTGATGGGAGCAGAAGTGATGTGTTCTCAGAAATGAAGCCTCAGTTTTAATTAAAAACCTGTTCATTACACGCAGATGAACACAAGCAACAGCACAGCAGCACGTGTGTGGCAACAGTTAGCATCAAGTTGATCTTTTTTAAGAAGTGCAGTGACGAGAATAAAATCCTTCTCTACAGGAACTGATGAAGGATTTTGATGAAAGAACAACTCAATGATAAGTGTTCTCCGAATGCCATTCGCTTTGATAGATCGATAGATAAACACACTTTATTGATCCCAAGCTGGGAAATGACAGAACTTTGAAATATCCCAGTGTTGAGATATTTATTTCAATGGCCTGCATGCTTGTTTTGAAGCAGAGACAGGAGAAAACTGATGATCTGGCAATAGTTTAAAATGAAGAAGTGAAACTCAGACTTTTAATGCTATTGTCCCTGAGTAGCTCCCAAAGTACTTATGGTCTTAAACAGTTTATTAAAAAAATATAAATGATGTACATTCAACAGCACTCCCCCAAAATAACACAGTCAGAATTACACTGCAAACCATAATTAACTGGCAGTAATTAGCACTTGTATAAAAAAAATGAGACTCATGCCACATGCAAGCGTGATGGTAAACAGCAGCCAGTTTGGTGAAGAGCGAAAAGACACAGCTTGAGACAGACTACTCCGGAAAGGATACAAACCTCCAACATTAAAAGGCTATGTCTGATATAAATTGAGTCACCCTCAATTCTCTTTGCTCTTTTCTGTGAAAAATGAAAAGAACAAGAAGTCTGGGTTTGTTTGAGTCTCTGTTGGACATGCACACTACACAGTTCACTACAGTGTTAATACGACCAACAAGAGGAGGCGTCCACATGCATGTACTGGGGGATGGGACTGCAGTAACAGCAGGTTTAGAAGTGTTCTTTACTACAGTATTAGTATTTAGTTGTTATCTGAGAGAAATGTGACAAAATTGTGGAATGACCTACAATCGTGCATGTGTACATTCTAGGACGTTAAACAGCAAGCAATGACAGGAGAAAAAACATGTAATAAACATCAACTATAAGTAAAATAAAATATAAAACAAGCATGACCTGTATTATAGTAACGCTGTTGCTTATAACCTTAAATCTATATTTTTTCTTCTCACTCATATCCTGTCTGTTATTATACACCTATGAGCATCGTATTTTATGAGGATTTCATTGAAGACCTAGCTGAATGAAGCACTATGTGACATAAGTTCTGACAGACTCTTGATACCATCAGAATGGTGATGGAGAAGTTACCGGAGAAACATGAACCACGCTAAGTCTCTGACCTTTCTCAACCGTGCCATCTCCATGCTTGTGACCTCTGACCCGTGCTACCCAAGGGAGGAGAAAGGGAGGGACACACGTTAGCATCCTCTGCTTGTCGGCTTTAACACTCACAGTTCAACCACAGTCGTGTGTTCAGGACGATGCCTAACCTGAATGTCCCCATTCATGGTGGAAAACAGTGAAGAGTCTAGTCCTGGCTGGGAACTCCAGACTGCTGACTACAGCAGCAAAGAGACACAGTCACACTCAGACACAGTGGAGTCTCTCTGCTGGCTCCTTTTTTTTTTTTTTTTTTTTAAATAACTGTTATACTGAAATATTGTTTTGAATACTATTATATATTAGTAATATAATCAGCAGACTGATGTTTCACTGACACAAACTAAGTTAAGCGTTCCTAAATTTACATTGTTTTTTTATATTACAGATGGCAGAAATCACATCAACCACATCTTAAAGATCACAGAAATCAGCTACAGTTACCTTGACCTCTGTCACGTCCTGAATTTTTGAGGGCTCCACAGCTTCCATAGTGACTTCCAGTTTCCTTTCATCCAGACGACTGGCCTTGATTGGAGTGGAGGTTTGTGGTTGGTCGAAAGGCGCCATGGGAATTCCTGCCTCAGCCAGAGCAGCCTGGGAGAAGACTGGAGCACTGACAGGACGAGCACCTCTCTGGTAGGTCACCACTAGACAGAATCGGAAAAACAGGGAAAAAAAAAAAAAAGAGATTAATTTTAGGTCCATGATGAAGACTTAGTACGATCGGAGAACAAACCAAATGCACACTGAAAAGGCTTTAGACACACAAAAGCGTATTAATGCAAACTCAGCCGTTTCATACTTACACTCTTTACTTTTGTTTGAGTCCAAAACGTAAATATTCTTCAGCATTATACTCACCTCAGGTCTTGACGATTAACAAAAGATAAACATGTATACGACCCTGTAAAGGGCCAGAAGCGAACATTCGCAAACTGGAATGAGAGCTGAAGTGCAAATTCATCCAGAGAAGGATGCAGAAGGCAGATGATGTTAGACTGCAGAGAGCCAAAAAGCTCACTCAGGACGATAAATGCTAAATTCAGCAAAAAAATCTTCATTAATGTGCGAAACAAAGCAAGGCCAGCGATTTCCATGTAGGAAAGAAAACACGTCAGTGTGTCCTCTGTAAAGGGCACAAAAGTTAGCAAGCGTTTGAAGCCACGGCAAAACCACACGTTAGCTGTTGACCTGCAGAGGCACAGACCAAACCAGGCCAAATAAAAATACCTGACTTTTGTCGTTCACCACCAAGAAGAACAAACCAATCATCATTGACATGAGAATATGAGAATGGGTCTCTTTCCTCCAGGATTCGTTTCTCAAAGTATGGTTTAGCCTCAGAGACGGCCATCTTTGTTCCGGCTGCAGCAGCAGGAGAAACTCTGACCTTTGGCGGGAGGCGGAGAGACTCAGGGACAGCAACTAGTACAAAGAAAAGAAAGTTTAGGTAGAAATCTGTGTAGAAACAGAACACGAGGTGAAGACAACAACTAACACACATTAAATGAAAAAATAGGTCATTGAATTGTTCAGTTCTAATCATTTAAATTCTACCTGATTTCTTAGGGCTGATATCCAGAAGACTATACCAGTCATCTTCCAGCTGTCTTGCAGTTGTTCTTACAGAAGTGGCTATACTTTCAGCCACAGCCACTAACACATAAACATAAAATGCATGCTCACATGGCCACATGTCAAACAACCAGTGTGTATTTTGAACAATACTGAAACAGAAATATTGACACTGATGCATGGACTCCATGGTTCAGGTTGTACCTGATCTCTTAGTGGTCCCTGTAGTGACTGTAGTGATGCGTTTATCATCTAGCTTCTGCTGAGTTGCTGTTAAAACATGGAACATCACGTTCAGTCGCAGCAGCCAACAAAGAGCCAAAGCATTGAACACATTTGGCTAAAATACTCTACCTGTTGGGACAAGGACAGGCTTTTCTCTGTCAGAGAGAATTAACCAATCATCAGCTCCTTCTCTTTCCATCAGTGATGGTGTGAATTGGTTCTGCCTACTCTCAGACGACCGTGTCGCTTCTTGCCTGGTCTCTGTGTCAATTATCATCTCCTTCCATGTTCTAGGTTCTGTGGTTATCACCTCAACCTCAGTTGTCTTTCTCACAGCCTGAACAGTCCCGGCAGGGGTAACTGGCAAGACAAGACATATTCAAACCGATTGTCACTTGATGATTACATTTGCGTTAAGGTGAGCAAGATTAGGAATGTCAAGACCCTTGGAACAATGTGTGTGTTGGCTGCGTGTACCTGGAGACACAAAAACTGTTTCTCTGGGAATGACATCCAGCAGGAGGTGCCAGTCATCATCTCTCTGTCTCATAGGCTGAGATATTTTCACTTCTGGAATATTTTGGATTGGAAGCAGATTTTCCTCTCTCTGCATCGTAAACATATTCCTGGATTGCACTGCAGGCACGATTCTGTCTCCACAGTAAACTTTGACGTCCTCCACAGTGGTTACTAATGACAAAGAAATAATGAGCACAACAGACACTAAAGGAGGGCAACAGAGAAGAAGCAGAAGTCTGAGGTGGATACCTTGTGGCACAATTTTTGTTACTCTAATGGGAACACCCAGCAGTGCAAACCAGTCGTCCTGCACCTCTCTCACAGCCAATGGTGTCAGTTCTTTGCCTTCCCTATACTCCTCTGTTATTTCTTTGACTTTGACATCAAAGGTTACTCTTTTCTTCGGCTCAACGGCTGGTGTTTCAATCAGTGAGAAGTCTGATGACTCTTGGGGCCGCTCGATCAACGATGCTATGAAAAAATAAATTAACACCCTAAATTAGTCCTAAAAGATTAAAACCTTTGGAGTATACTGTGTGAAAAATTAGAAATATCTAATTCCAGCAGTACCTGGTGGAACATGTGAAAGTTCTCTAGGAACAACATCCAGCAGCAGAAACCAGTCGTCCTCAATCTCTCTCACAGCCACTGGTGTTGGTTCTGTGCTTTCCCTCCACTCCTGTGTTAATATGTTGGATTTGACGTCCAATCCCATACTCCTCTGCTCAAATGCTGTAATATCAGTCACTGACACAACTGGTGACACTTGTGCCTGCTTAACTAAGAATGCTACGATAAAAGAATTGAACACCCTAAATTAGTCCAAAAGCTCAAAACCTTTCACTGAAACACATCATGTCCAAAAATTTAAATATCTCATCTCAGCAGTACCTGATGGAATGTATGAACTTTCTCTGGGAACAACATCCAGCAGCATAAACCAATCATCATTCCTGGGTGTAGTCGGATGTTGTATGATGGGCTGTAGTTGCACTGAGGCCACTTCTGTCATCTCTTTTTCCACAGTGATTGTTTCTTTAATGTCATCAGCAGCAGCTGTGACCACAGAGACAAACTTTTCTGTGCCTTTCTCCTCTCTTACCTCTGAGAAAGCTAAACAAAAAATGGGTTTTACCAAGAGTGACCAACACAATGCTATGGCTGATGTAAGGCTCACAGTTTAGTGTTACCTGGTGGTACGTAAGCAGTTTCTCTGGGCACAGTATCCAGCAACATGTACCAGTCATCATCACTGTCTGACACTGGTGGCTGCAGCACATCCAGATCTCTTGGGATTTCTTCTGTTACCTTTCTCTCTTTAATGATTACTTCTCTAAGCTCTGCAGCAGTTTCAACCACAGTCACAAAACCTTCTGTCTTTGGCTGGCTGAATTCCTCTGGCTCAACTAATAAAAACACAAAAGTGTAACTAAAATTGCAAAGTTAGAGACAGGGCACAAAATAAAGTACCAGTGATGTTTATCAATACCTGGTTGTGGGATTTCTGGAATATATCTCGGCACCTCTTCAATTATTTCTCTTTCTTCAACAAATTCTTCTCTGATCTCCTCAGCGGCTGCTCTGACCACAACCTCAAAGTTTTCTGCCTCTGCCTGATCCAGCTCCTTCCATTTAACTGACAGGAACAAATAAAAATAAGTTTTCACAAAAGTGACAATTACTGAAGTAGTAGGAGTACGAGATATAGGTGGACTTAACCAGTACCTGGTGATACAGAATATGTTTGTCTGTGAATAACATCCAGCAGTTTAAACCAGTTATCATCTCTGTCTGTGAACGTCTTTGGTGACAGGATCTCTGGTTCAGGCCACGCCTCCTCTTGTTGCACTTTTGCCTCCTTTATTATAATCTTCGTTTTCTCAGGTGCTGTAATCTCAGTTTTTGGGATTAAATAAGACCCTCTATCCATTGGAGCTGCCCCAACATAGGTAACTAGTGATGGAAATAGGTGAAAATAATTATAAAAAAGGTTAGAAATGATAATCTTGTCGAAGAGCATGAGCAACACCGCATATAGTACCATTATGATAGTAGTTAAAAATCTTTCAACAATGGTTGAATCTAACTAACCCTAGAGCAACACCATTTATAAACAGTAAAGTAAAAACATTTTTTTTACTTATAATACTGTTATAATATTTTCCAATGTTGTACTAAACAAGGAAACAATGGAATGGTTATTGTGAATGAATCATTGTTGCAAAACTACTGGTTTTACTGCAGTTGTTGTTGTAGTGGTTACACAGCGATGTGCATTACCTGGTGGCTGAAAAGCAGCTTTGTACGGAAGACGGTTTAAGAGAATGAACCAGACATCTTCATCTGTGTGTCTCTGCACATCTTCTCCCTCAGCTCGGTCCTCCTGAAGTTCTTGTATTGTTATCATCTTCTCTGCTATAACCATGGACTGCAGCTGCTCCTCCTCTTCATACTCCTGATTCTGTGGTCTCTCGCCTACATTAGTCACTCTCTTCGTAGTTCTATGCACCACCTTCTGGTGTGTCACTGCTAAAGCAGGGCCCATGACACCTGCTGAGCCAGTCTTCTCCGGCTCCCCCTCCTCCTCATTCCTCAAACTATATTCTAGCTTGGTCTTACTCGTCACTTCTGTCTTGCTCTTCACCTCAAGCCCTTCACCATCAGATATCAAATCCTTGAGAAAAACTTGCTTTATTTGCTCCTCCAGTTCGGCTACTTCATCTTCCTTTTCTATTCCAAAAGTCTTTATAGACCTGTTTACTATCATCTGAGTTTTTCCTTCGACTAGCACTTGTTTTCCCTTATTTATGTCTTCTTCGGTGCCAATGACACCGGCTGAGCCAAACTCCTCATACTGCCATTTATTTTCTTTATAACTTATCGGTAATCTCACACCCTCTTCTATCTGAGTCTTATTTGTCACTTCTCTTTCATGTTGGCCTTTCACCTCATGCCCTTCATCTTCAGGCAACAAACCCTTGAGAAAAACTTGCTTTATTTGCTCCTCCAGTTCGTCTACTTCATCCTCTTTTTCTATTCCAATGGTCTTTACAGACCTGCTTACTATCGTTTTAGTTTTTCCTTCGACTACCATTTGTTTTCCCTTCTTTATGTCTTCCTCATCTTCTCTTTGTTCTTCTTCTATTAACTTCTCCATCTCATCTTTCCCCAGCTCTTGTTCTATCACTTCTTGAAGTCTCCCAGCTATGTCATCTACTTCTTGAAGCCTTTCTTCTAAGTCCCTTACGTCCCTTAGCCTCTTATCCAAAGCATCAGCCTCTATCAGTTTGTCTACTAAGGTGACAGTTTCCTGAAGCCTAACAATAACATCGCTCTCTGCCTCCTGCTCATCCTGATCCTGGAGCTGCAACTGGTCCAGGGGAGTGACTAAAAGCAGCAGACATTTGGGGAAATTATGGTCCATAAAACTAAACCTGTATTGCTATTTTAAAATTACTTTTAAGAAATGTTTGCAGGTAGAAACTTACTTGTTTTTTCAATGTAGTCAGGTGAAGAGGCATGAAGAATTTGTTCAAAGTACAGATGCCAATCATCATCACTTTTGGGAGTTGGTTGCAAAAACCTGTCCATTGAGCTAATTTTTCTCAAATTGAACATGGCTGATAAAATCAGAAATGAAATAGGATTCATTACGGGTTTTTTTAAAATTATTTTTGCAGAAAGGTTTTTTTTTTTACCTGTCTTGAACTCATAAGGTGGGATAATAGGAAAAGGAGGATGACGATGGAGCAGAGCAGACCACTCCTCCTCCTTCTTCCTTTGGTCCACATCATCAGATGTCATTTCCTGTGATGACTGAAATTCAGTCTGGATAACCTTTTGAGAATCAGTTTGACCAGACACAGTTTCCTGCCAGGTTACCCTGGCTGTCTGCGCCTCCTCCCACAACTGACTGAAAGTTTGATAAGAATCTTCTGTGGCTGTGAAGAAATGATGACGTAATGTAAAGATGTGCCAAAGACCAACAGCCACTGTGAACTCACTTCACAGTTCTTCAAGTGTGTTTCAAGGTCAACGATGTTTCAAGCATTCAACAGAAGTGAATGAAAAGGGTTGTTGTTTATTTTTGTGTTTCCTGTGTTATTGTTCAAAGCCGCCGCATGAGTAATAAGTGAGTCAAGTTAAACATTGTGATACCAGCAAGAGAAAGTTGACACACGTTAAGAAGCAATGTCTTTTAAAAATGCCGCAAAAAAGAGGAAAGAAAGCAAAGCACATGAGGAAACTTTTTGTTTCACACTCAAAGGTCAGAACAAAGCTACCCTGGGGTCACACCAGGGACAATACACAACACCTACCTGACAGCTAGGGCAATGCTGAAAGGCAATGCCTTTAAAGATTTAATAGCAAGAAAGCAAATGATCCAGAAGACGGTGGCCTTGTTAATCGGTGCAAAACGGCAGCTTGTGAGCAAGAACAAAATAAATGCTGCACTGAAGCATTTTCACACAAGTCGTGCTACCTGTAAATTCAGGAGAAGGCAGAGGTTTGTCAGGCAACAGCACTAACCAATCATCGTTCTCAGTCCTGCTGGATTCAGAGTTTTGCAGCAAAGACTGGAGAACGTCATCTCCAGCTGCAAGAGTGACACCAGTGAGACAATAGCTCCTAAAAGTCTTACAACACAACAGCGGTTAGCACATTTACCTCCGTCTAAGTTGCGGGACAGCCTCTTGCTTGCAGAGCGTGTGAAGCGCGGAGCTGGGCGATCGATCACGGAGCTGGCCTGGCGCGTCTGGGCCTGAGTGCGACCACTGTAACGAAACTTTGACCCCAAGACAACAAATCGTCGCGATGACGGAGGCTCCACTGATGAAACCCTGAGAATAAGATGTAAAAGAAGATCAGACTTTTTATAAGTCATTTTATTAAGCATGAGCGTAGGAATCTCTGGTACCACAGAATTTAAGTTAATTACAATTGAATCTCTGAGCCAATAATATATATAAGGATTTTAGGATTTTAATTAACAGTGTAAGGTAACCTGTTCTCACCTGAAGAAGGTATGATGCTCAACACAAACTTTCCACAACTTCTTTGACGCTTTGTAGTTGGGCAGTTTGAAGCCAATTGTACTTTCATACTGCTCTTGCTGCGGATAAAAAAAAATCATGACTTTTTATTGCTGCTGAATTGACCACACTACAAAACATTCCACACAAAGAAAGAAGGCGGTGACAGGTGTAAACTCCACTTTACCTCTGAGGCCCGGATCTTGATGAAGAAGCTGCTGCGTTTGTATGAGATCTTGAGGACTTTGGGCCAAGGGAAACGGTTGATTCTCAGTTTGTCCTTGTAAACCATCAGTCCACTGGAGCAGACTCCCAGTGTTATGTCCACACCATCCAGATCCTGCAAACACATAAGACGAAGTCAAACATCTTCTCGAAACAGTCACTAGGGGGCAGACTTTGGTTTACTATGAAGACCTGCACTTTGAGGTCAGAGAGTTTATGAATCTTTTTTTACCACAGGAGGAATTCACACCAATTTTTAATTGAAATCTTCTGACGAAATCCTACCATGTGATTTAAATATAATGAGATGCAGTTTGGAAATGAAACAGAGTTAGTAATTAAACAACACTTATCTGTATGGCTTCAGTTTTTGCACTGTCTGCTCAGGTCATAACAAGCATTAAATGTGATCAGGTACCACGTTGAAAAAAAGTGCCTACCTTGGCTTGATGCAGGTCGACTCCATACATGGCCAGTTTCTTTGCATTTTCAAGAAACAACATGTCTGCCTGTGCAGGGCTCATTGATCTAAATAACACAAAGATGAAATTATGTCTTAAAAACATTTCAAGAAACATATTTGTCTCTGTGTTGTTTAAGGCCCAGGCTCTCAATCTCAAAGGAAAAAACTGCTTTTGCAATATATTGACATTCCAAATGTTCTGATTACCTGTATGTGCGGTGCAGCTCTGTCACTTTGTCCTCCAACTCTTTGCTCTGCCCTGGGGCCAGGTTCAGATCCTTAAGATAATCAGCTCCGTGGACCTCTGGGTCATATTCCCCCAGCTCTGACTGGGCTGTGTAGGAGCCCAGCAAAGATAGTGTGACAAAGGAACAGGGAAGAGAACCCTGCAAGATATCCTTCCTCAACTGGAGACATAGCAGGTACCTGGCAAACAGGTGAAAGAATATTATTTATAATTGCATTAAGAACAGTACAGCAATTACACAAAGTCACTGGATTACACAGATTTGACTTAAAATATTTTTTTTAATTTACCTTAACATTGAAACATTCCACAAGCTTCAGTTCTAAAGTTTTGCTAATTAGTCTTCTGATTTCTATGATGGGAAACACACTACTTCCTCAAAACTTTACAATGTTCCCCAAAACCTGGTCCTGTTTACCTTGTGAGGTCTTCAGTGAGCTGCGCTGGGTCAGGAGGGTAGAACTTGGCGTTGAATGTAAACTCATACACAGCACCAGGGACCTGTTTACGGATCTCCTTAGCCATTTCTAACCATGTCTGGAGACATTTGAGGCATTTGAAGTCAACACCTGCTCGGGTTTTTTTTTTCTTTAAATAAATGTAATATCATTTTAACATGAAACATTAAATTCTGCAGCCTACCTTACTGGTTGGTGTTTGCCAGTGAGCCAGGCCAAAGTAATCCTTCTCCAGAAGGTTAACATGTTCACACACCTTTGTCAACAGCTCATCGCCTTTAGCATGTTTCTGAAGCATGAGAGAGACATGGACACACAGAGACAAGGTGAGACAGTCTTTTGTCAAGAGTCAGACTCTTTGTGCAAAAGAACAAGATTTAATTTGGACGGTTTCTTACATCAAGCTCACACTCAAACTCAGTGTCATCCAGTAGAGTGACTTTACACTGTATGGTTTTCTGGCGCCTGGAGCCTTTGGCCTCCTCTGTTGTCTTTTCTTTTGCCGGCTTCTCCTTCTTCTCCTCTGTCTTTTCCTCCTCGCCACCTTCTTCCTGCAGTTCTACAGGTTCTTCAGTTTCGTTCTCCTTCACTTCTTCTATCACTTCAGGCTCATTCTTTGTTTCACTTGTTTCCTTTTGTACCTCCTGAACTGGCTGGGAGTGAACAGGGACATTTGCAAAGCGTATCGAATACCATGAGCACACGGTGTACTTTAATGACTTGGTATGATAACAAAGGTATTGTTATTGAAAATACATCCACAGCAACACACAGCTGTGCTCTAGTTCAAAGCAGCAGGTCGGTGGTGGTTTGAGAACCAGAGACTTTTCTCTCAGTGGACTGTTGTTGTGTTAAACAAAACAGCTGATCAAACAAGATTGTTATGTCAAAACCAAATAAGTTCCATTTGCATTACAACTAGCCAGTACTAGAGAAAGAAAGTAACGCTCAGAGCATTTACTCTGCAGGAGAGTTAATATCGTAGTAAAATGACAGCAGTGACAGTAAATGTCACAGTCTTGAAGTCAAAACTCATTGATTCCCCTGTAAATGTAAAGTAACCTTTTTGAAAGGTCAGCACCAGCATATGTCAGGCTGCCGACAGATACGCATGTGTTTACAAGCTCAACAATATTAAATGTATCTGCACAACAGGGATGAAATAACTTTAGAAAATATAATGGTTAAAAAAAACCTGTCATTTGTACTTAGATCTGTTCCATACAGTTAAAGCGCTAAAATTACTTATTATTATTATTATTATTATTATCATCATCATCATCATCACCTTTCTCTGACAGTTAAAGCTAACACTCACCTGTGTCTCTGCACTGCTCACTGAGTGCTGATCAGGTGCCCGTTCAATGTCTGGCTCCATTTTTAGCTCAGGCTCTGGATCAGCGATCGGTGCTTTCACCGGCTCCACACTTGATTCTTTTACCACCTTTCCTTCCTTCTTTCCTTTGTTTTTCCCCTTCTCTTTCTTCTTCCCCTTTTCCTCCTGCTTCTTTGGCTTTTCCTCCTCCTTTTCCTTATCTGTTTTCTTGGCCTCTTCTTTTACCTTCTCCTCCTTTTCAATTTTGGGCTCCTCTTTTGGTGTCTCCTCGTCTTTCGTCTTCACCTTTTCCTGCTTGGGTTTTTCGTCCTCTTTCTTTCTGGCCTTTTCCTCTTCTTTCTTCTTTGCTTTTTCAGCCTCTTTAGCCTTCTCTTCTTCTTTTTTCTTTATCTTCTCTTCCTCCCTCTTCTTTGCCTTTTCCTCCTCTTCTGCTTTCTTCTTTGCCTTTTCCTCTTCCTTCTTCTTTACCTTTTCTTCTTTTTCTTTTTTCCTAATCAACTTCTTGTCGACTTTTTCCTCCTCTTTTTTTCCAGTTTCTGCCTCCTTGTCTTTTTCTTCACTATTTTCCTTATTTTCTTCCTCTTTCGTCACCGTTTTTTCTTCACTCTTTTCAGGAGTACCATGTACTTTTTCCTCTTCCTGATCTTGTTTCTTTTTTACATTTTCTTCTTCATGTTGCACATCCTCCTTTTTTGTCTTTTTCTCAGACTTCTCCTCCACCTTTTTCTTAGCTTCTTTCTTTTTCTTTTTGCTTCCTTTTTTCTCAACCTTTTGCTCCTTTTTTTCCTCCTGTGGTTCCTTTTCCTTGTTTTCAGTTTCTTCTTTCACCTCGGACTTTTCTTCCTCTACCTTGTTTTCCTTCTCTTCAATTTTCACCTCCACTGCACTTTCCTTTTTGGGGGTGTCAGCTTTTTCCTCTTTTTCTGCCTTTTCCTCCCTGGATTTCTCTACCTCAACGCCTTCTCCATCAGAGCACTGTGAGCGCCTTTTGAGGAAAGAGGAGAAAAGGCGTGACAGGCCTTTGCCAGCAGAAGTTCGGGTACGAGGCTTCAGCTGCTCCTCCTCTGGGGAGGTGGCAGTCTCCACAGGCCCAGCCTCAGAGGCCTGTTCCTGGGCCTTCTTACTGCTCGACTGCTCCCCCTCTGACTCGGACGTTGACGCCTCTGCCTTTTGTTTGTTCTCTGGTTCAGATTTAGGCTCGGTGCCGCTGGCCTTCTGCTTGCCCTCGGTGTCGGCCTCGCTCACTGCACTTGCCTCTGTTGTCATGGCAGCCACTGGGAAGGAGATGGGACGAAAAAGGAAGTCAGATATAAAGAAAGGTCATGGTGCGCAGCACAGCTATACTTGGAAGACAACAAACAAGATTATGAGCAGCAAACTGTTAGCCTATGAAAACCTTAAGTTCACTATGCCGTAAGTGATGTAAGAGCCAAATAACTAACAAACTGAAGGAAGAAGTGCACGTTTAGTTTAAAACACAGAGAGGACAAAATACACTGGTTTAATAAAAAATAAAATATAAAGTACTTTTACTTTATTTTGATTCTTGTTGGACTAAGGAAGCAGTTGAGCTGAGAAATGTATTGTATATAGACCACGATTTAATAAAAAGTATATAACAAAAACACTAATCATTATTTAAAATTATGTAAAAGAATTTCACATGTAAACAATATTATTTCAAATCAAAATGATAAAAAAGAATTACCAATTTTGTTCTGGTAATTTTTCTTCAAACATGACAGCGATGTATTTAAACTCTCGTCTTTTGTCATGCAAATGAGGCAATCTGCATTTATGCTTAATTATTCTTCTTAAACGCCTCATCTTGACAGCTGAGACCTCAATCACTTTTACTCTTGGCCACGTTTACAATATTTAATTGTACTCAAACATTCCAGCTGGGCAGTACTACTCGGTACCTTTGGTAATTGATGGGACAGTTCTTTCAAGAACCACTTTGCAAAATGACAAAACTTACACGTTCACATACCTCACGCCATTAAACAATGGCCTTTCTGTGATGAAGAGTGTCTGAGTCTCTGAGCCGAGTGCACGCTCACGACACCGCCAATAACGGACTCATTATATCTCATTGACACAAAGGAGGCATTTTGCATAGCCCATTAGCATCAGCTGGTTCATCCACGTCAGGTCTGCCTGGCTTCTCATCACAAACACGCCCATTCCCCACATGTCAACTCGAGCTTCTGTACTTATACACACCACTTTTCGTTACTTCTCGAGCAATTCTGAGAGCGCCCCAAGAATGGGTTGATGGGTTAAGTTAATAACTAATAAACTACTTACACCAGCTTTCATTTTTAACTTTAATGAGATGGCTGCACAACCTGACTTGACAAGGCATTTTGACTAATGTGGTGGTGTTTGCCAATTCCATATGTAGTTCAAGCCCCACTCTGCTTTGTGTTAGGGGGGAGGGGAAGAGTCAGACTGGCGGGCAGGCCAATCTTCCAGATGTACTTGGCCGCCCAAAAGGCTGTAGGCAGCCTCACCCCCTTTTACCATACACTTCCCTATAACCTTACTGGACAGCAGGAAAGGATAGCAGGGGGTGCATGCACAAACCCAATCCTCTTTCGCCCTCCCATTGTTTGTGTCCAGTGACCAATAACTGTGGGGCACACTATTACTAATCCTGCCCACCCTTCCCCCCACGAGACCCCTATAGGCATATTCCCCAGGTCACAAAACACACACCGGTACGCACCACTGCTTCCAGGCTCCTCAGGGTCTTTTAATGCTCTGTCATCTCAATTCTGATTGTCAGGAAACAGACTTGTCTCTAATGGACCAGCTGAGCTTGTGTCTGCTGCCTCCTCCATTTTGAATTTCTTATCTAACATCTCTGCTATCAGCCAGCTGAGCAGCTCCGACCAGCATCATGACTGATTGAGACAGCAGCAGCCGCCGCACCAGGATCTCTTTAGATATCACATTCATCTCTCACAGAACCATATTTCTTTCTGGTGTGGAGATGATAAGATGAAATATTGCTTTGCTGTAAAAAAAAAAAGCTCTACATAATTAGCGTATCCAATGAGCTGAATTATAGATGAAGTAGGCCACCCTCTAGCAAGAGTGAGCCTGCTACAAGCTGCTAGATCAGGTGGTATCGCCATGGCTGGATTTAAATCAGGACGTGATTTAAAGTTTATATGACCCTTGACTAATTTAATGGAACCATCATTAAACCATTGAATGTTGAAGAGCTTTATTGTGACTGATGTTAAGGCAAATCTTCAATTCCCTACATTTAGATAACAGTGAAAGTGTGAACAAGCATTTATTTGATTCTATGCTAAACAACTTTGAAGTGATGGTAATTCTCCATAGCAAACTCACTTTGAAACACTACAATAATAACTGAAGTCAAAACATGTAACAAGAAAGAGTCACTTTCGAGGAATCTGTCTAAAAAAAGTTTAATTTTATCTGTCAGTGATGCTAAAGTGCAGCTTTGAGTTTATCCGTGGATGAAGATTTGTGATGAAATAAGATGAGCCTGATTGAAGACGCAGAGCAGGAGCGGGAGGAGGAGGAGGGAAGAAGTTATATAAATAGCTGCATGTGCTCAGAATACTGGGATTCATTACTAAGCCTTTACAGAAAAGCTCCTGTCTTTTCTGTTAGACAGTGCTCCTCACTCACCTTACTCACCAGGGTTATGCACATTTATGTAGACCACAAATAAGAAGCTGAATGAACTGGTAATAGATAAAACAGTCTTTAGGGTGGAAGAAAAATGTCAAATAAATCCCAATTTTATTCATGATGTCAGCAAGTCGCAATCACTATTTTAAGGTATCCTTCAACTCCAATTTGGAAGGAAAAGTCAATAAAGCAAGACAGTGTCAGTAAATGAAAAGTGCAATTTTTTAAAAAGCCTGGTAGAGGGCAACATCTGTAAACAAACCAAACATTTTCTTCGCATTCTTGGTTCATAATTATTAGGGAATGTGTTTCCCACATTAATTTATACCTCAGGGTCTGTAGTGCAGCGGTACTAAATACACAGAATTAAAAGCATACCCTAAAAAAACAGAGGAAGATTTCATTTTCTTTGAGTATGGCCACTGTCTCCTCCCTTCCTCACCATCACTTCTAAAAATAGCTTTACCTCATAGGAACACTTAGACAAGTTCCCGGGTACAGAGAGGAGGCTTAAGGACTTAGAGGGAGTTTAGAGTTAATCAGCCCTCAGGTGACCAAGTAAGATTATCTTCATCCATCTAGCTGACTACAGTGCCCATCTTACGGTCTCTGCTGTCCTGGGACCTATATCTTAAAATCTTTTTATTATCAGTTTGCATCACAGGGAGAACCACATATTTGTAGGTTTGTGAAAGAGAAGGGAAAAAAGCTGGCAGAGCATTGTTGGATCAGCTGTGCTGATTCATGGACTAATATTTGGCCACACCCACCTGCTGAGAATCAGCCATGAAGTGAAGTCAGTACTGTAGCCACATGGTGTCTCCTATTAACCTCTCTTAGTAAACACAGACACAAATGCCAACATGCACGCTAACACGTGCCAGGTTGAGCCCCTTTCAGCTAACACAAAAAGACACAGTAGCTTTAGCCACATCTTGAACTGCTAAAAAAACACTTTTACTTTTGAATAACACTCCAAGAGTGGGATAAAAAAATTAAACTCATCAAACTTTTAATCAAAAGACTCACTGTTAGTTCTGTGTCTCCGCCCTGCATTAAATGGTTAATACTCAGCTAAAGGCAAATGGTTTGCGAAGGTGTACATTCGAGCCCCAGCTCCAAGTGTAAGACTATGCCAAAACCAAATCCTAAACGAATCAATACACACAGATGGTCTGTGAGCCCCGGTGCTGTAACATGAACCAACATGGGAAAAGAATGAAGCAGCCTGATTGATTTACTGTGGTTGCCCTGAAAGCATCTCAGAATCCATTTTCACCATTATCTCAGCCAAAGCCCATTGAAGAAACAGTATAACTGTGCAGCACTGTGCAATATAAAAGAAATGTTTTATTTAAGAGCCTTTCAATGCCCTGACTTGGTTAAAGGAACAGTGAGCAGCAAGCTTACAATCACTGTCCTTTTTACTTCATTATAAAAAGTGCAAAGACTTATGGTGTGAGCTCTTTTCAGTAGTAACTCACACACACACCTAAGTCATAG